TGTTCTTCTTCTTCTTCTTCTTCTTCTTCTTCTTCTTCTTCTCCTCCTCCTCCTCCTCCTCCTCCTCCTCCTCCTCCTCCTTCTTCTTCTTCCAATTCTAATTCTTCTAATTCTCCTCCTCCTCCTCTTCTTTACTTCTTCTTCTTCTTCTTCTTCTTCTTCTTCTTCTTCTTCTTCTTCTTCTTCTTCTTCTTCTTCCTCTTCCTCTCCTCCTCCTCCTCCTCTTCTTCTAATTCCAATTCTAATTCCGATTCTTGTTCTTCTAATTCTCCTCCACCTCCTCCCTCATCCCATTTGTTCTCTACTTCTCCTTCACAGTAGTTCACTGAATTCTTTTCTACTTTCATTCTTTCCTCCCTCCCTCCTTCCCTCCCTCTGTCTTCCTCCCTCCTTCCCTCCCTCCTCCTTTACCTTAATTGCAGCACTCACAACTGTACCCCTAGTTCCATAAAATATCACTTATCAACCCAATCTGGAGGGCGCACCCATCTTTGGGATCGCAAGTTGCCTCACTGAAATTCCAGACAAAAACACAGGGCTGGGTGAAGATGAATTTATTAAAGGGCATGGACATTTTGGCTAGAAATCAGCCGTCGTTTCCAATTGCTTGCAAAAATAAAAAAAAAACGGCTTCACGGCGAACAATGGCTTTGCTTAACAACCGCAGTGTTCGCTTAATGACTATCCTGTTTGCTTTCTGAGTTTTGGTGTTTGCTTCATAACTGCTGCTGCAAAAAAAAAAATCATAAAATTGGGTCTGGTCATGCTTTATGACCCTCACGGCAATTTGTAGGATTTAATTACAGTTGTAACATGAGGACTATCTGCACCTCTTTATGCATTTGGGAGACAAACCTTATTCCTTGGATTTTTAAAGATTTTGCTATGTTTTTTCTCACCTTTGATTTTTTTTTTTTTTGAGGTTAACTTATCCAGAATTATTCTTACACAAAGCTAAAGGGATTATATTCCTTGGGCCTTCAAAAACTTATCAATAATAATAGCACGATATTATAAGCCTCTTAATCTAGCGGTGCTTTATTTTATATCTTATAATTGATTAGTATGTTATAATATTACTGCTGTTTTTAATGCTATTTCTGTGCTGGTTTTAATTGCAGGTGCACAATAAATTCATTTAATGCTTACTACCAGAAGTACGAACCATATAAAAACACAGGAGAAGACGGGGAATGAGGAAGTAAGGACCAGATTCCGACAGAAGAGAATTTTTGTAGCTCAGAGTTGAAATAAAGGGTCCTTGGTGCTCTCTGAGCTGGGTGGTTTTCTTGCAGACATTTCATGACCCAACTAAGTAACATCATCAGTGCTAGAATGGAGTGGGGTTTGTGGAGTAGAGGAGGAAGAGAACTATGGGAATCTTGGTGCTCTCTGAGCTTGGTTGTTTTTTTGCAGACGTTTCACGACCCAAATAGGTAATATCATCAGTGCTAGAAGGGAGTAGGGCTTGCTTGCTCAGTCAGTGTTGGTGGTTCTTGGTGATTTTGACTTGTTTATCTAGTACCTTGATTGTTGGTCTAGTGTTAATTTTGGTTTTAAACTTGACTGTTGGTCTAGTGTTAATCTTGGTGTTAATCTTGATTTTTGGTCTAGTGTTAATCTTGATTGTTGGTCTAGTGCAGGGGTAGGCAACCTTGGCTCTTTTGTGACTCATGGACTTCAACTCCCAGAATTCCTGAGCCAGCCATGCTGAGGGGAAAGGGAGAGGTTTCCAAGCTGAGCCATGTTGGCTCAGGAATTCTGGGAGTTGAAGTCCACAAGTCATAAAAGAGCCAAGGTTGCCTACCCCTGGTCTAGTGTTAATCTTGGTGTTAATCTTGATTTTTGGTCTAGTGTTAATCTTGACTGTTGGTCTAGTGTTAATCTTGGTGTTAATCTTGACTGTTGGTCTAGTGTTAATCTCGACTGTTGGTCTAGTGTTCATCTTGGTGTTGATTTTTGGTCTAGTGTTAATCTTGACTGTTGGTCTAGTGTTAATCTTGGTTTTAATCTTGACTGTTGGTCTAGTGTTAATCTTGATTTTAATCTTGACTGTTGGTCTAGTGTTCATCTTGGTGTTAATCTTGATTTTTGGTCTGGTGTTAATCTTGACTGTTGGTCTAGTGACCAGTGCAGACACACAAGCTAATAGTAAACAACAACTTAATCAAGGAAACACCAAGAACACTCTCACCAACACTGAGGGGGCAAACCACTAGTACATAAAAATAAAAGCAGACCCCCTCACTCCCTTCTAGACTGGTGATGCTACCTAGTTGGGTTGTGAAATGTCTGCAAGAAAACCACTAAGCTCAGAGAGCATCAAGGAGTCGTCGTTGTCGTCGTCCTCCTCTCTGCAAACCCCATTCCTTCTAGCACTGATGATGTTACCTAGTTAGCTCATGAAACATCTGCAAGAAAACCACCAAGCTTTAAAGAGCCCCAAGGACCCCACAAATGACAACATGGCTGAACCCTAAAATGTGAGGGGCAACGGACCCGAAAAAGCAGCTTCTTCAGTTTGGCCATTGGATTCAAATCTCCAGGCACCAAATTTCTGAAAATCAAATCAGAAAGTCCAGTTGTACGGTCAGGTCAGAAGTCCACAAGTCAAATTACTTTCCTTACCCCCAACCCCCCCCCAAAATAATAATTTGGAAAAATCAACCTGCCTCGAAGGTCTGAACGGATTCAACTGATCAAGTAGAAGCGAGCAGGGATCCAAGTCCTGGGTGTGATCAAATGTGATCTGAACGTCCCGGGTTTTGACCAGTGATCCTGGATGGAACTGTAGAACCGAAGATGACAGGAGGTGGAAATTTACATCTAACAGGTATATGGTGGCCAGGGAAGGTGATCCAGCACCACGTTGCCTTGAGTTTCATAGCTCAGGTTGGACCATTCGATCATGGGTGGATCGTGGACACTGTCGGTAGAATTCCACATGTACACTTGCTGGATCTCTCCCTGAAAGAAGATCTCCTCGTGGTGGGCTCGGCCAAGCTGGACCAAAGCATGCGGTCTGATGAAGTAGCCTTGACGTACCATCTTCCTGGGCAACGTTTTTCCATTGAACTGCAAGGTGAGGACCCCCGTTTCAGATGCCCAGGTGATGCAGATCTTCTGCCACTCTTGGTAGAAATCCGGGACTCGGAAGCGCTGAGGCACACCGCCTATGTAGACCGTGTACCACCAAGAACCATCCAAACCTTGAACCTTCTCGATCAGGATTTCCTTGTCTTGGTCTTTGGTGGCATAGGAGAACAGAGCTTGTTTGGCCGGCGAGTCGGAGAAAGAACAGAGGCAGACGGTGATGTTCTGGAGAAATTCTTGAGATTCATCCACCTCGAAGATCACGTAGCCTTTGTGGGAGAAGATGAAGGAATAGTCCTGCAGATCTGGGGGAACGAAAAAAAAAAAAAAAAAGAGAGAGAGAGAGAGAGAGAGAGAGAGAGAGAGAAAAGAGAGAGACAGACAGACAGACAAAGACAGAGAAAAAAAAGAGAGACACACAGAGAGAGAGACAGAGAGAGAAAGAAAAAGAGAGACAGACAGAGAGACAGAGAGAGAGAGACAGAGAAAGAGAAAAAAAAAGAGAGAGAGACAGAGAGGAGACACAGAGAGAGAGAGACAGACAGAGAGAGAGAGAAAAAGAAAAAAGAGAGAGACAGAGAGAAAGAAAAAGAGAGACAGACAGAGAGACAGAGAGAGACAGACAGAGACAGAGAAAGAGAAAAAGAGACAGAGAGAGAGAGAAAAAGAAAAAGAGAGAGAGAAAAAGAGAAAGAGAAAGAGAGAGAGAGAGAAGACAGATTAATTCGTATTGTGTCTTAGTACATTTCCATCAAGACAGAATTTCCATCGCTGAGTTTTGCCCCATTTTACGACCTTTCTTGCCACAGTGGTTAAGTCCATCGCTGCAGTTGTTAAGTGAGCTACCTGATGATTAAGTGAACCTGGCTTCCCTTATTGACTTTGTTTGTCAGAAGGTTGCAAAGGACGATCACGTGATCTCAGGAGACGGCAACCGTCATAAATACGAGTCAGTTGCCAAGTGCCTGAATTTTAACCATGTGACCGAGTGAATGCGGCATTGGTCCTAAGTGTGAGGACCAGTCATAAATCCCCTTTCTCAGTGCCATTGTAAGTTCAAATGAACTTCCAACGAATAGCTGTAAATTGAGGGGCGAGGCCTAAAAAACGGCTGTAAATTGTGGGGCGAGGCCTAAAAAAACCCAAGATGGTCGCCATGAGATGATGGCGCTTCAATTGCCATGGTGGCCATCTTGTTTTTCAATCCTACCCCAGCTCCAAAGAGCTGCCCTCGTGCGGTGTTCATTCATGGGGTTGTTGCCACGCAGCCAGCAGGTCAATAGTGGTGACCTTCTCTTTTCATTGGTCATTCGGTCCTCGGCCAGCTAAGATTGCAGCCGGCTGGATCTCTGTGTGCCAATCTCACCCCTGGCATTAGACCAAAAAAAAATCATCCAGGGCAGTTTTTTTTCCCTAGTTTATCCACCCCCTTTCTTTATGCTCTTAGTTTGTTTGATATAATAATAATAATAATAATAATAATAATAATAATAATAATAATAATAATAATAACAACAACAACAACAATAATAAAGTTGGAAGGGACCTTGGAAGTCATCTAGTCCAACCCCCTGCTCAGGTAGGAAACCCTATACCGTTTCGGACACATGGCTGTCCAGTCTCTTCTTAAAAACCAGGAACTTTACGAAATACCAGCAAACTTTACGATCCACAGAGAGAGCAGAGAATACAGAAGAACGGGGTCATTGGAAGGGATCTTAGAGGTCTTCTAGTCCAACCCCCTGCCCAGGCAGGAGACCCTATATAATTTTAGATTCCTGTCCAGTTTCTCCTTAAATCTTCCCACAATTCCTGGAGAGAAGCTGTCCCACTGGTTAATTGTCCTCACTGTTAGGAAGTTTCTCCTTAATTCCAGGTTGCTTCTCTCCTTGATTAGTTTCCATTCGTTGCTTCTTGTCCTTTGGAGAATAGCTTGACACCCCCCGTCTTCTTCATGGCAGCCCCTCAAATATTGGAAAACTGCTATCATGTCACCCCAGAGTGGGAAGAATTCCTTTAGAGTTTTTCCAAACTTTATAATGGCAAAATTAAATGGAATTAGATCAGATGGAAACGAATCTCCTGGGGGAAAAAAACTGCGGAAAAAAATAAAATAGGGTCCTTCTCGACATCCTGGCTGGTGGATTTGGGAAAAACCGTGGCTTAGAAGCAGCCGAGCCGTGACCAAAACGGCTAAGCAACTGTCCGCCCCACTCCTCTTGCAAATAATAAAAAAGAAATTTCTGCTAACTTCTGTTCTGCTAAGCAAACTTTGGGCTTTTCAGAGAGAGAGAGAGAAAGAGAGAGAGGGGGAGGGAGGGAGAGAGGGAGAGAGAGAGAGAGAGAGAGAGAGAGAGAGAGAGAGAGAGAGAGAGAGAGAGAGAGAGATAAAAATAAGGGGGAGGGCAGAAAATCTGAAAATACTTCTGGATTGGCAGGAAATTTAGACCCACCCCTTTTAAGTTCAGGATAAAAGTCTAGGAAATTGGGGGCTGAAATCTGCAAAGCAGGCTTGGTTCCAGCTGGGTTGGACCAACTGTGCTTTCTCCTTCTGGTGGTGGCTATATCAGCATGAAGATCTTCTTCTCTTTTCTTCTGCCGGGCCTGCTGGAGGCGTTCTGCCAGGAAAGTGAGTATTAGCATGAAAGTCTATGGAGACTCTTGGTCATCTGGGCCATGGTTATCCCCCAGGTGCTTTTCCAAAAGCCAACTGGACGTGTTTTTTCTCTGAAGACGAGTCGCTTCTCATCCAAGAAGCTTCTTTGGTTCTGAGTGAATAGTGGAGGATGGAAGGACTAATATTTCTCGCAGTCCTCTGGTCGTTAGTGCTCCTCCTGAGAGTCTTTGAGGCCACTTGGAGGTTTATCTGTGCCCTCAGAGTCGTCTGAGTAGTGCAAATGGGTGTGGAACGCAGTCCTTTCGGCAGTTCCAAGAAGGTTCCTTCTTCTCCTTCTTCTCCTTCACCTCCTCCTTCACCTCCTTCATCTCCTGTTCCTCCTTCACCTTCTCTTCTTCCTCCTCCTCCTTCTCATCCACCTCTTCCTTCACCTCCTCCTTCTCATCCACCTCTTCCTTCACCTCTTCCTTCTCCTTCACCTCCTCCTCCTCTTCCTCCTTCACCTTCTTCTCCTCCTCATTCACCTTCTCCTCCTCCTTCTCCTCCTCCTTCACCCCCTTCCTCTTCCTCCTTTACCTTCTTCTCCTCCTCCTTCATCTCCTCCTTCTCCACCCTCTCTTCCTCCACCTTCTCCTCCTCCTCCTCCTTCACCTTTTCCTCCTCCTTCACCTTTTCCTCCTCCTTCACCTTCTCCTCCTCCACCTTCTCCTCCTCCTTCACCTTCTCCTCCTCCACCTTCTCCTTCTCTTCCTCCTTTACCTCTTCTTCCTTCACCTCCTCCTCCTCCTCCATCTCCTGCTTAGGTTTCATTGTTGTAGTCTTTGTATTTATTATTATTCCATTCTTGAGCTGATGCCTGATACGAACTGAAGATTGCAAAAATGAAAAGTGAGCATCTGCTCTCATAGAAACACCCTCAAAGACACATCCATTCTTGGAGAACTTTTTTTTTTTTTTTGCTTTCTGTTCTGCATCAGAGAGAAGGGACGCATTTCACAAAAACGGGGTTCCTTCCCCCAGGGCATTCTGGGAAAGATCAAGGTCTACTTAAGAGAAAGGCTGAGCGGTCTTGACGTCGAGATATCAGAAAGTAAGACGATCAGAGAGATGTTTCTGATCGGAAAGCTTTATAGGACCTCAATGTTGGTTGGGTGTAGAACTGTCAACAGTCAAAGCAGAATGCATGTTTAGGACAGGTTCCCTAGAGGCAGACAGGACCATTCATGATTCCTCTGTTGGTTTCCTCCCAGACTTTGAAGGGAAAGCCTTTGTGTTCCCGTTGGCTTCCAGCTTGGCCTTCGTGAAGTTGAAGATGGACCTCCAGAAGCCTCTGACCAGCTTCACGGTGTGCGAGAGGTTCCAAACGGACTTGGTGCGCCCGTTTGTCCTCTTCTCTTACGCCACTATGGACGACGACAACGAATTCTTGCTCCACACCAATAAGCAAAACATCCTGAGCGTCTTCATGAAGCAGGGGGTCGTCAACTTTGACACCTCCAAAACAGCTGTGTCGTCCACCTGCAAGGAACACCTCTGTTTCACCTGGGACTCCGAGACTGGATTGGCAGCTTTGTGGTGGAACGGGCAACCCTTACCTCGAAAAATCATTAAAAATCTCAACGTCCAAGGCAACGCCTCCATCATTTTAGGACAGGAACAAGATTCCTTCGGTGGCCAGTTTGACGCCAACCAATGCTTTGTGGGAGAGATTGAAGATGTCTACTTTTGGGACCGGGTCCTGCGGCCGGAGGAAATTTGCCGAGTTTGGGACAATCGGGGGGTGCCCCATCCGCTCATCAACTGGCGAGAGCTGGATTACCAAATCCACGGAAACGTTCTGGTGGCACCTTCCAACATCTGTGCCTGCCGCAGGGCGAACGCTTGGACTCCCACACAGGCGTGAAAAATTAGCCCATGGTCTGAAGTTTGGTTCCCACCTGAGTGACTCGGTCAAGAGTGGGACAGCAATGGCCCCTCTTTGGGTTATGAAACGCACCAGCGTTCTCTCACGAAAAGACCCTCCCTGTACATAAAAGCTGCGGATTTGCTTATTTTGTCTTAAGAGAATGTTTCGGTTCTGTCTTGAAAGCGCAGATGTTGTGTGTGTGAGAGAGAGAAGGAGGGAAGGAAAGAAGGAAGATGGAAGGGAGGGAGGGAGGGAGGAAGGAATATAAGAGGAAGAAAGGAAGGAAGGAAGATGGGAGGGAGGGGGGAAGGGAGAAAGGAAGAAAGATGGGAGGGAGGAAGAGAAGAAGGAAGAGAGGAAGGAAGGAAGGAAGGAAGGAAGGGAAATGGGAGGGAAGGAGGGAGAGAGGGAAGAAGATGGGAGGGAGAAAGGGAGGGAGAGAGGGAGGCAGGAAAGAAGGAAGATGGGAGGAAGGAGGAGGGAAGGAAGGAAAGGAAAGAAGACAGACAGAAAAAAGAAAAAAGAAAGACAGACAGAAAAAGAAATAAAGAAAGGAAGAAAGAGAGAGACAAGAAAGAAAAAGAAAAGAAAGAAAAGAAAGAAAGAAGGAAGGAAAGGAAAGAGAAAGAAAGAAAGAAAGAAAGAAAGAAAGAAAGAAAGAGAAGGAAAGGAAGAAAGGAAGAAAGAAAAAGAAAGAAAGACATTAATCAGAAGCTACCTTTTTAGCTAATGGGAATAACAGAACATAGAATGTAGAACAATAGGCTTCTAACTTAATAGGATAACAATACACTATTATATCTCCATATGTAGGATAATAGAATTATAGGAATGTTCTGAGTTAGGCCACGGACGTTCGCCAATCACCCCTGTGGACATTCTGCCTTTACTACCCCAGTTCCCTTCCTTTGGTTCTCTTTCTGTCCTTGCCAAATCTCACAGCTCCATACATTATAAGTCGAAATAACATCTTACCACCACGTTGTGCATGCATTAGCAGGTGTGGGATTGATGTTCCTTGTGACGCTTCCAGATCAGGCTAATTATTTGCTGGTCTCTCCAACTCCTGCTGCAATTATCACCCCCCAGCAAAACTCAGCGAGTGCCAGACGCTCTCTTTTTTTTCTCCTGGCTCTGATCAGTTGGCAGGTCGGCAGCCTTTGACCTCACCACCAGGAAATCTTTCAGACTGGCGCTTAAAAGCCGCAAACACACAACTGATCAGTTGCATAAGCAGAGGCACAGAATCAAAAACACATGAAGTGTTAGTACCGCTTTGTAAAGCCTTAGGAAGGCCACCGCTGGAACGTGGCATCCAGTTTTGATCGCCACGTTAGAAAAAAAAGGATGTCGAGACTTTGGAAAAAGTGCAAAGAAGAGCAACTAGGATGCTTAAAGGCCTGGAGATTAAAACACACGAAGAACGGTTGCAGGAATTGGGTATGGCTGGTCTAGAGAAAAGAAGGATACATGGTAGACATATTCCAGTATTTGAAGGGCTGCCCCAAAGAAGAGGGAGTCAAGCTATTCTCCAAAGCACCAGAAGGCCGGACAAGAAACAATGGATGGAAACTAATCAAGGAGAGAAGCAACCTGGAACTAAGGAGAAATTTCCTGACAGTGAGGACAATTAACCAGTGGAACCGCTTGCCACCAGAAGTTGTGGGTGCTTTTAAGAAGAGACTGGACAGCCATTTCTCTGGAATGGTGTAGGGTCTCCTTGCTGGAGCAGGGGGTTGGACTAGATGATCACCAAGGTCCCTTCCAGCTCTTTTCTGATGGATTGTCAACCCTTTAGCAGTGATCCAGGGGGTAACATCAGATTATTATCCAAAGAAGCCACAGGAAAGGGGGAGAGATTCAGAGAGGAAGGGGATCATGGGTAAGGAAATTGTTGTTGCACGTGTACATCTTGCCAGGGGAGAATTAAGGAAGGACGTGTTGTGGTGTTGGAACACAAATACATATCCTTTAAGGGTGTGTATTACAGTGTCCTCATGTTCACAAGGCAGCTCTATATTCACCAGCCCCTAACTGAAATTTAACATGCTTCGTTATTGATTCAGTGGATTGGTAAAGAAGCCTGTGATTGACAAGTACATATTTTTAAAAAACTTTAATAACTATTTGAGCACAATTGCTTTCCTCTGCACTAAAATGGTGTGTTTTCGATTAGGCATCAAATGCCATTTCCGAGGGAGGGTCTGTAGGTTTTGCCAGAGCCTCAAAGGGGTTCATGGAGCCCCCCCAAAGGGCATGGACCCCCCACAATGTTGCCACTTAAGTCCTTGTGTGCAAGGGAAAGAGAAGAAGGAAGGAAAAAAAGAAAGGAAAGAAAGGAGAAAGAGGAAGGGAGGGAGGGAGGAAGGGAGGAAGGAAGGAAAGAAGGAAGGAAGGAAAGGAAAAAGAGAAAGGGAGAGAGAGGGAGGAAAGAAGGAAGAAAGGAAGAAGGAGAAAGAGAGAAAGGGAGGGAGAGGGAGAGGGAGGGAGGAAGGAAAGAAGGAAAGAAGGAAAGGAAAAAGGGGAAGGGAGAGGGAGGAAGTAAAGAAGGAAGGATGGAAAAAGGAGAAAGAGAGAAAGAGGGAGGGGAGGGAGGAAGGAAAGAAGGAAAGGAGGGAGAAGGAGGGAGGGAAAGAGAGAGCAAGAACGGAAAGAAGAAAAAGGAAAGGAAAGGAAAGGAAAGAAAGAAAGAAAGAAAGAAAGAAAGAAAAGGAGGGAAGAAGCAAGAAAGGGAGGAGAAGGAGGGAGGGAAAGAGAGAGCAAGAACGGAAAGAAGAAAAAGGAAAGGAAATGAAAGGAAAGAAAGAAAGAAAGAAAGAAAGAAAGGAAGAAAGAAAGAAAGAAAAGGAGGGAAGAAGCAAGAAAGGGAGGAGAAGGAGGGAGGGAAAGAGAGAGCAAGAATGGAAAGAAGAAAAAGGAAAGGAAAGGAAAGGAAAGAAAGAAAGAAAGAAAGAAAGAAAGAAAGAAAGAAAGGGAGGGAAAAAGGAAAGGGAGGGAAGAAGCAAGAAAGGGAGGAGAAGGAGGGAGGGAAAGAGAGCAAGAAAGTAAGAAGGAAGGAAGAAAGAAAGAAAGAAAGAGAAAGAAAGAAAGAGAAAGAAAGAGAAAGAAAAAGAACAAAAGAAACAAGGAAAGGGAGGGAAGAAGGAAGGGAGGGAGGGAGGAGAAGGAGGGAGGGAAAGAGCAAGAAAGGAAAGAAGAAAGGAAGAAAGAAGGAAGGAAGGGAGGGAGGGAGGAGAAGGAGGGAGGGAGGGAGGGAGGAAGAGAGGAAGGGAGTGGAAGAGAGGATGGGAGGGAAGGAGTGAGAAGGAGGGAAGAGGGAGGGAAGAAGGGCTGGAGTAGCAGACACAGCCCCCTATGTGACTATCCAATGTGCCGACAGGAAAAAAAAAATCAGGTATGGAGCAAACACAAGCCCCGCACGGGAACTCTCTCTGCAAAATCTTGCAAAGATCCATCTTGACTTTCCTTACTCAAGGACCAATTATTGGGGAGGGGGGCAGGGAGGGAGGGGCTCGCCCCAAACCCTGGGTCTTGCAGCCCAATTTTCCATCAATGCCGTCCATGAGAATCCACTAGCTTTGGCTCTCTGCTCTTTTTGACACATACAAGAAAGGAAGTCAGAGAAAAACAAAGGATTCTTGACAGCCCCCCCCCTTTTTTTTTAAATTGATGTCAGGACGTTTGCTGCTGCCTCCTGTTCCGAGTGTGGAAAAATGAAATATTTCCTTATCAGCATCTGCCCAAACCAGCTGACTCTCCCCCTGCTTCCTTTATGGCGGCCGACTAATTAAATAATTTGTATCGCATAAATCATTTCCTTGGCCATTAACCTCCCGTTAAAATGAAATGTCATTTTCACCCCGTGTTTGCAATGTCCCACTGCCTTTCCGCTACCTACCGCCATTAGCCACCCCCAAATTCCACCCGTATATAATGCCCCCCGTTGAAGGGGTTTCTTAAACAAACATGACAGCGTTCATAATTCTAGCAATATGTGCTTTTTATTAGCTACGTCTAGGTCAAGTTGCATCGACGGCCTATTTTCCTTCCCAAACACCCCCCTTGTGAAGGGACTTGAGTTTCTGTTGAATTGAGAAGAAAAGAAAGAAGAAGAAGAAAGAGAGAATGGGAGGAAGGGAGGAAGGACTAAGGAAGGGAAGGGAAGGAAAGGAAGAATGAGAAGGAGGAAGGAAGGACTAAGAGAGAGAGGGAAGGGAAGAAAGGAAGAATGGGAGGGAGGAAGGAAGGACTGAGAGAGAGAGGGAAGGGAAGGGAAAGGTAGAATGGGAAGGAGGAAGTAAGAAGAGACAGAAGGAAGGGAAGAAAAAGAAAGGAAGAATGGGAGGGAGGGAGGAAGAAGAGACAGGGAAGGGAAGAAAAAGAAAGGAAAAGAAAGATAGGAAGGGAGGGAGGGAGGACTAACAGAGAGGGAAGGGAAGGAAAGGAAGAATGAGAAGGAGGAAGGAAGGACTAAGAGAGAGAGGGAAGGGAAGGAAAGGAAAGAAAGAAAAGGAAGAATGGGAGGGAGGGAGGAAGGACTGAGAGAGAGAGGGAAGGAAAGGGAAAGGTAGAATGGGAAGGAGGAAGTAAGAAGAGACAGAGGGAAGGGAAGAAAAAGAAAGGAAAGGAAAAGAAAGGAAGAATGGGAGGGAGGGAGGAAGAAGAGAGGGAAGGTAAGAAAAAGAAAAGAAAGATAGGAAGGGAGGGAGGGAGGACTAACAGAGAGGGAAGGAAAGGGAAGGGAAGGGAAAATGGGACGGAGGGAGGAAGAACTAAGAGAAAAAGGAAAGGGAAGCGAAAGGATGGAAGTAAATGGATGAAGAAAGGAGGGAAAGGAAAGGAAAACACAAAGCAAAGGCAAAGGCAAAGTAAACTAAAGAGTAAAGTAAAAAAAAAAAGTAAACAGTGCTGAGTAAAACGTAAAATAGCAAGACCAGTAGCCCAATCTTCTGGGCCAGGATTTTTTGCACCTTAAGTCGGTTTGAAACCTGGCCTGGAGACTGGGCTGCTCATCCACCTCGGATGACTCCACAAATACTCACTTTCCTGGAGAGACGTTTTGGAGAGACTGGCCAAGAGGAGCATGCAGACCCACCACGGGGCCATCTTCTCCTTGCCCCGGGAGAAGAAACCAGGCAAGGGGCTGGAGACGGAATTTGGTCCGTGGGAAGCTGAGCTCAGCGGTGGCTGCAAGCTGGCTTTGCAACCAGCAAATATATAGCCTCCCGGGGCCGTGTCTAAATTTATCCTGCAGCGTGATTGGGGTGGAATCCAATTCCTGTCCCACAAATATTTTGGGGTGGACTTCATCTAGCGGGGGCAAAAGAGGTCTTTTTAAACTCAATGTCTGTGGAGATTCTCAGTCATCCAGGGCATGGCTGTCCCCAAACTGCTTTTTCAAAATCAATCTGGACTTTCTTTGTTAATAATAATAATAATAATAATAATAATAATAATAATAATAATAATAATATGACAATATCTGTAATACCATCAAACATCCACATCTGCCTATCCCAGGTCCTGGGTAAGGACTCAATAGGTAGACAAAATGCCAAATCCAGTCTGAACATCTGGCTGACTGTGTGATGATCCATATTAATAATAATAATGGTAAAGTTGGAAGGGACCTTGGAGGTCATCTAGTCCAACCTCCATCTCTTGTTCCTGCCCTCTGGTGGCCCTTTAGATCTTTGCAGCCCAGATCTGGAAATCTTCTCCAGGACCATGGATGCTGGTTTGGGCCAGGCTGATGTGTCTTTAAATTGCCTTTGATGGACTTGTTTTCTTCCCAAGGAACAAAATCAGCGCTTTGTGTGTTGGCTCTGGCAAAGCGTTAAGAGTCAGGCGCTTCACAGCTGAAGCCGCCTGTCAGGTGCTCCAGTAGAAATGTCTTTTTTTCATGAAATTTGATAAATCAACAACATGTTGTTCCCGAAAGTCAGCTCTTTGGATTCTGCCTTGGGCAGAATGAATGTCGATCCTGTTTTTTGATGGTCAAGGGGTAAAATACATCTCAGCTGGGTTGAACAGGGTGGTTTTGTTCTCCAAACACGTCAAACTGTCAATCTGGAATAATACAAACACCATTTGTGTCCATGCAATGTGCTCTGCATAAACGGATAAACTATATTTAATTTCTTAAGATGGTGGCTTCTTTCAAGGCTTGTCATGGAGATCAGCCTTAGCTTGCAAGGTTTGACAAGTTTTCCTTCCTTCCTTCCTTCCTTCCTTCCTTCCTTCCTTCCTTCCTTCCTTCCTTCCTTCCTTCCTTCCTTCTTTCCTTCCTTCCTTCCTCCCTCCCTCTTCATACTCCTTTCCTTTCCTCTCCTTCTCCTCCGCCCATTCTCCTTCCTCTTCTCCTCTCCTCCTCTCCTCTCCTCTCCTCCCCTCCCCTCCCCTCCCCTCCCCTCCTCCTTTCCTTGACATTTTAAAGTAAGAAATGAGAAGGCAACAGCCTATGTCTACCCCCAAACGACGGGTGATTCACTTTCCTTGCCTCTCTCGACAAGCCGAGATCTATGCCATGTCCCCCGACCCAGCCAGGGGACAATTACAGACCACAGATGAGCTTGTCACTTCTTCTCCCACTGTGAAGCCATCTTGGATGACAGGGGACTGCCAAGCGTGGGCAGCCCTGGGGCCGAAGGCAGGAGACGAAGCACTGCCTCTCCTAATAACTTGTCAACTGCCCTGTCAGCGGTGAAAGAGCAAATCGTGGTGAGATGTTCCTTTATTAAAATAATAATAATAATAATTTTTTAAAAAAGGAGAGCGATCAGATCAGGAGACAAAGAACATCTGTGTGGTCAACAGAAGGCTGAACTTGTGATAGAGTCGCCTCTAGAAGAGATGGGCCATACACAAATCTAGTAAAGAAGTAAGCGTATGAATAAATAAATAAAGATGATTTATGGAATACAGGGTAACAGAGGACTTTGGATGCTGGTGTTTTCAGGCACGATCCCAATCCAATCAGAACAGAGCTGGAAGGAACCTTGGAGGTCATCTAGCCCAACCCCCTGCTCCAGCAGGAGACCCTACACCATTCCAGAGAAATGGCCGTCCAGTCTCTTCTTAAAAGCCTCCAGGGATGGAGCATCCACAACCTCTGCCTCTATTACAATATAGCCTTTCTCAATAAACATTATTTTAGCCTTCCTGGCGGAGTTGATTTCCTGATCTTTCCTGCCTCGTGGCAGTGACAACCCTCTTTTTTTTTTTTTAGCAACCTGGATTTCTGTCCGCCTCTTCGCCTGGCTGCCTTGCTAATTTGTCGTGTTTCTGTGGCCTGCTTTTAATGCAGTTTGACAATAATCACTTAGAGATGCACAAGCTTTGATGGAGGTCATTAGAGTCGAAGGCAAGGCAGTCCAATCAGCTTGTCAATGTGATGTTTTCTCCCAAGCAGATTTGGGAGCTCCAATTTGGCTGAATTTTCTGTTCGCCTGAACAGAAAAAAAGCCAGCCAGAGTCCTCTGGACACGTCGAACATAGATGCTTAGGACTGGAAGAGACCCTAGAGATCTTCCAGTCCAACCCCTGCTCAAGCAGGAGAATGTCTAATAAGAATAGAATAGAATAGAATAGAATAGAATAGAATAGAATAGAATAGAATAGAATAGAATAGAATGTAGAAAGAATGGAATGGAATGGAATGGAATGGAATGGAATAGAATAGAATAGAATAGAATAGAATAGAATAGAATAGAATAGAATAGAATAGAATAGAAGCTGGAAGGGACCTTGGAGGTCTTCTAGTCCAACCCCCTGCTCAAGCAGGAGAATGTCTAATAAGAATAGAATAGAATAGAATAGAATAGAATAGAATAGAATAGAATAGAAGCTGGAAGGGACCTTGGAGATCTTCTAGTCCAGCCCCCTGCTCAACCAGGAGAACCTATACCGTCTCAGATAGGTGAATGTCTAATAGAATAGAATAGAATTAGAATAGAATAGAATAGAATAGAGTAGAGTAGAGTAGAGTAGAGTAGAATAGAATAGAATAGAATAGAATAGAGTAGCGTAGAGTAGAGTAGCGTAGAATAAGGAGAGTAGGTAGAGTAGAGTAGAGTAGAGTAGAATAGAATAGAATAGAATAGAGTAGAGTAGAGTAGAGTAGAGTAGAATAGAATAGAATAGAATAGAATAGAATAGAGTAGCGTAGAGTAGAGTAGCGTAGAATAAGGAGAGTAGGTAGAGTAGAATAGAGTAGAGTAGAATAGAATAGAATAGAATAGAATAGAGTAGCGTAGAGTAGAGTAGAGTAGAGTAGAATAGAATAGAATAGAATAGAGTAGAGTAGAGTAGAGTAGAGTAGAGTAGAATAGAATAGAATAGAATAGAAGCTGGAAGGGACACTGGGGGTCTTCTAGTCCAGCCCCCTGCTCAGGCAGGAGAATCTACACCATCTCAGACAGGCGAATATCCAATCTCCTCTTAAAAATCTCCAGGGATGGAGCGCCCACGAGTTCTGGGGCTAAGTTGTTCCACCGTTCAGCTCGTCTTTGCCTTCCTCATTAGCTACAATCTTCGCTTCCCGAGGCTGCATTGCAATGAAATTTCGTAAGCCGTTGTCGTCGGCAATTCATAATCCGGAGAGGATTCATCCATGAGGCAAGGGCGATTGTTATCTTACAAGCTGCAATGCCGGGGGGGGGGGCTTTCCTCCCCTCCCTGGGGTGCCAGGCTCCCTCTGCGAGCATTTCCTATCCCTACCCTACGCTGCCAAGCCAAGGGTACTCATTACGAATTCTCTCGCTCAAATAATTAAGATTCCCAGGGGAGAAATTGCTGGGAAGCTGGAGTTTCCACCCCCCCCCCCCGGCTTCCAAATTAGAGAAGAAAGTTAACAACACCGGAGAACGCGGGAAAATGGTGCAGCTAACATCAAACATCCAAGGACTTTTTATTTAGAGCAGGGAGTGGGACTGTCACACTAGTCTGGAAAAAGGCAGAAACGAGACTAGACAGGTAGTCCTCGGCTTATAGTTAGTTCATTTAGTGACCATTTGAAGTTACAACGGTACTGAATAAGTGACTTTTGACCATTTTTTTTTTTCACACTCACCACAACTGCAGGATCCCCGTGGCCATGTGATTTACCTTCAGAGGCTCGGCAGCCTCCTACCTATCTATCTTGAAAATCTCCAGTGACAGAGCACCCACTACCTCTGGAGGCAGGCACTTCCACTGGTCAATTGTTCTCAACGTTAGGAAATTTCTCCTTAATTCCAGGTTGCTTCTCTCCTGGGTTAGTTTCCACCCATGATTTCTCGTCTTGCCTTCTAGTGCTTTGGAAAATAGTTTGATCCCCTCAAACGTTAGAACAGTGCTAAACACTAAATGAGAAGGACTCCTTTGCTATTTTTTTTTCCAAACCATGGATTGTGTTGATTTTCCTACAATTGTCTTGGAGGGAAGCCGTAATCAACTCTGGATCGACCCTTCCCAGAAACAGTCGGGGGCTGGCGGTGTCTATGAACCCCTTGATTAACAAAGACTTCCAGATGCTTTTCGCTCTGCCCAAAACCGGCATGTTTATTTTGGCACCTTGTCCTCCATTGCTTCCCAAAAGTCTGATTTAATCGCTCGGTACTTTGGCAGCGATCAGTCGCTTAAAGCAAGAGCTTTCTTGGAATAATTTTTTTTTTTCCTGGTGGAACAGCACAGTTTCCTTTCTTGGAAGGATCCAAGGCTGGAAGTTTAGAAGATCAGGAGAAAAGAGAGGGGTTTTCCTAATTAGGGATGTCCTTCTCGCTAACTCAAAGATATTAAGGTGCTTTCCACAAGGAAGGTGTGTAATTGTGAGTCTTTTCTGTATCTCCCTGGCTGAGCGAAGAATCTAAAGATGGTCATAAAGGTGGGGGCAGAAAATTCAGGATTGAGTTTGGTGTAGTTGTTAAATGAGTCATTTTTTTTAAAAAAAATGTATTCATTATTATCTCTAGGAAGTCCTATGCTCTCCGGAATTGAACAGTCATGTTAATAGAATAGAATAGAAATTAGAATAGAATAGAATAGAATAGAATAGAATAGAATAGAATAGAATAGAATTACAGAATAGAAACATGGAATAGAAATACGGAATAGAATTACAGAATGGAATGGAATGAAATAAAATGGAATGGAGTGGAATGGAATGGAATAGAATAGAATAGACTTGATTCAGCCAAAAGCATATGAGAAGGTACATTTTAAAAATATTTTATTTGCGATGCTAAAAAACACCCTGGTGGAAGACAGAAGGTGGTCTGTTGCATAGCGGAAGCTCAGATGTCAGTGCATCAGAGGCGGCCTCGGTGGCTTCATCCCAAGAGGCAAAGGAGACTGCTGGACAGATTGCTCAGGATCCAGATAGTCCTCAACTTACATCTATTCATTTAGTGATGGTCTGAAGTTACGACGGCGCTGGAAAAAGTGACTTGCCTTTATGATCATTGGGCAGCATCCCCACGGTCGCCTGAAACAAAGTTCAGATGCCTGGCAAACCAGGATATATTTACGACGGCTGCAGCATCCCGGGGTCAAGTGATCACACGACTTTCCCCAGCTGACATCGGACAAGCAAAGTCAGTGGGGACACGCTTAATGACCGTGTGAGTCACTTAACAACAGTCGTGGTTCGTTTAACCCCCTTAGCAAAAAGGTTGCAACATTGGGCACGTCTCATTTCAACAAACCGCCTTGCTTAGCGGGAGAAATTCTGGTCTTCGTTGCCGTAAGCCGAGGGCTACCTGTAGGGACTTTGAGGGGTGGTCTTCCCCGTTTAGGCCGTCTTTCGACGACAAAAGCCCACCCCCAGAATTAAGACGGGGCACAGGTAACAGTGGAGCATTCCCCATCCTTCCGACAGGCCCAGAAAGAGATTGAGATGTTCCAGAAATCTGCAACTTTGGGAAAACGAAGTTTCCTCCTGAAGCATGTCCAGGAACACGGCCACGCCGTAGGGACCCCAGAAAAGATAAAAAAACCAGCTGATGTTCAAACGGGGGTGCCCCCTCTCTCCACACCCCTTGAGACCCACGGTGGCGGAGACCACGATGAGCGGGAGAAGGAGCAGAAGCACCAAGCAGAAGGTCGCATGGACCAGGGACCAGGCGTGAAGCGTGGCGAGACGGTTTGGTATGCAGAGTCCATTGGCGCTGCTCACCAGCGCAGCTGGAACGGCGCAGAGGAAGCCCATGGTCCACAGCAGGGTGGCCAGAAGCGGCCTGGGGAGACCCCGGGGGCTCGGGCAGGCAGTGCCCGCTGCCAGCAAGGCCTGAGCAAAGAGGCTGCCAAATTGGATTCCGTGCATCGCTTGGCAGAGGCGGTCTTCAAAGGCCCAGTTCCAGCCGATGCCCAGGGCGAAAAACGGCAAGGTGGAAGCGAAAAGCAGCCCCGCGATGGCGTGCAGAGCAAGGTCCGCCTTGCCTGGCTGGCGCTGGTCCCAGAACCGAGGGCATTTGGCCAAGGCAACGCCAAGGATCACGTTGCTCACAATTCCCAGGGTGCAGCTGATCCCTAGGAAAACTGGAATCCCGCGGACGAAGGTGGAACAAAAGGTGAACTGGCACGGCTCGGCGAAGTTTTGGTACCAGTCGTAGTCCTCCGTTTGGTTCAGGGTGAAGTTGTCAATCAGCTGCCAGTAGTCCAGGTGGGCTGAGTAGTCAAAGAGGGTGGTGTTGCCTTCCTCCTGCCGCTGGGAGAGAGAAGGTGGAGAGGTGAAGGGGCGGAAGGGAATAAACGAGAAATGGGAAAGAAAAGAGGAAGGAGACAGGAGAAAGAAGGGGAAAACCAGGGTGACTGGTGGCTGAAGCTTCCCCGACAGACTTGGTAGTCATAGCCAGGACCGAAAATCACGTGAAGGAGCTAAATGGCATCGGGTGTTGGCAGTCCTGCTGGCCCCAGTTGGGTCTGGATTTGTGGCTTGGAAGGAGGCAGAAGGGGGTTGCCTGGTTGTCAAAGTTAAACAAAGATTCAGCTGTGAGTCTAATTGGGGTTTAGGTAGAGAAGCAGCTGGGGCCCTGCCTTTTGCCTCAGGCATCACAAATGCAGGTCTGTTGGTTCCTGGTCTTTGAACAAGGGGATTGTTTAAGCTGGTATTAGAAGGAGAAAGAAGAAATAAGGAAGGAGGAGAAAGAGGAGAAAGAGAAGGAGAAGAAGAAGGAGGAGGAGGAGGAGGAGATATAGAGGAGAAAGAGAATAAGGAGAGATGAGGAGGAGGAGGAGGGGAAGAAGAAGAAAGAAGAAAGAAAGAAGAAGAAGATAAAGAGAATAAGGAGAGGAGGAGAAGGAGGTGGTAGTGGAGGAGAAGGAGGAGAAGAAGAAGAGGAAAAAGAAGGAGAAGGAGAAGGAGAAGGAGGAGGAGGAGGAGGAGGAGGAGGAGGAGAAGAAGAAGAAGAAGAAGAAGAAGAAGAAGGAGGAGGAGGAGGAGGAGGAGGAGGAGAAGGAGAAGAAGAAGAAGAAGAAGAAGAAGAAGAAGAAGAAGAAGAAGAAGAAGAAGAAGAAGAAGAAGAAGAAGAAGAAAAGAATAAGGAGAGGAGGAAGAGGAGGAGGTGGAAGAGGAGGAGGAGAAGAAGAAGATATAGAGGAGAAGGAGAATAAGGAGAGATGAGGAGGAGGAGGAGGAGGTGGAGGAGGGGAAGAAGAAAGAAAGAAAGAAAGGAGGAGAGATAATGATACAGCCGAGAACATAGGAAGGGCAACACGTGGAAGATGTCATCTCTCTTTGTGCAAAATCTGGTGTGGGAAAAAATATGGGGCCTAGGGGAGTTTTTGCACATCCCAAGGTGGAAAAGCTGCAGGAGGATTGGTGGGTGTTTGTGTTTCAGATCTCAGAGAGCGGAGGATCTCCTTGGCTTAGGAAGAAGGGAGAAAGAAGGGCAGACCGGCTTGGCATGCGAATTTGTTTCCCTTTGATAACTTTATGCCTCCCTTGCTAGGCTGCTTCTCGGAATTAATGGAAATTTATCTCTCACCTTAGCCTTTCCTTAAGCCCGTTTATTATCGGGGAGTTATGTGGATGGCTCGCCAAACAGCCTGGGGGGGGGGGAAACTCACTTTTGGGAGGCTGAGAGAGAGAGACCTGCCCCAAAAGGGAAGCTGAGAGTGAAATGTTGGAAGGAGGAGGAGAAGGAATAGGAAAAGAAGGAATAGGAGAAGAAGGAGGAGAAGAAGGGAAGGAGAAGGAATAGGAGAAGGAGAAGGAGGAGATGGAGAAGGAGAAAGGAGAGGGAGAAGGAATAGGAATAGGAGAAGGAGAAGAAGGGCAGGAGAAGGAATAGGAGAAGGAGAAGGAGGAGATGGAGAAGGAGAAGGAGAAAGAGAAGAGGGAGAAGGAGAAGGAATAGGAATAAGGAGAAGGAGAAGAAGGGCAGGAGGAGAAGGAGAAAGAGATGATGGAGGACATGGAAGAGGAAGAAGGAGAAAGAGATGATGATGGAGGACATGGAAGAGGAAGAGAAGGAGAAGGAGAAGTAGGAGGAAGAGAAGGAGAAGGAGGAGAAGGAGAAAGATGATGATGGAGGACATGGAAGAGGAAGAGAAAGAAGGAGAAAGAGATGGTGATGATGATGGAGATGGAAGAGGAAGAAGGAGAAGGGAGAGGAAGAGGAGGAAAGATGGTGATGATGATGGAGATAGAAGAGGAGGAGGAGGAGCAGAAGGAGAAGGACAAAGAGGAAGAGGAAGATAGGTAGGAGAAGACTTTTAAGGTTGCAATCAGACAAAGGACCTCCAGTGCCATTCACACAACAGGGTTGAGCTCAGGGATTAGCCGAAAGACCAGACCACGGAAGGCTGAAGAAACTTTGGGGAGGGGGGTCTTGTATTCCTCCTCCGATGAAAAACACATCACGAGGGCCAGACTCCTCCTCAACCCCCCCCCCCCCCTAGGGAAAGCACCCCAGTCCCTTTGCAAAAATTGTTCAGTGTTTCATTGGGAAATATTTGTCGGACATTCAAAATCTTTGGATTCTGTCTGTCGGGCCAGTCCTCAAAATCCTGTAAGCAGACTACACAGCCAGTCCTTGATTTATAAACATTCATTTAGTGACCGTTTGAAGCTGCAGTGGCATCAGAAAAAAGTGCTTCTTTTGGTGCTCGGCCACTGACTCCTATTTATGACGGTTGCCGTGTCCCGGGGTCACGTGAACCCCTTTTTGTGACCTACTGATAAGCAGAGTCAATGGGGGAGCCATTCATATTTGAAAGGGAGATACTAATACTAATAATAAGAATAAAGTTGGCAGGGACCTTGGAGGTCATCTAGTCCAACCCCCTGCTCAAGCAGGAAACCCTACACCATTTCGGACAAATGGCTGTCCAGTTTCTTCTTAAAAACGTCCAGTGTTGGAGCATTCACCGCTTCTGGAGGCAGGTTGTTCCACTGGTTAATTGTTCTCACTGTCAGGAAGTTTCTCCTTAGTTCTAGGTTGCTTCTCTCCTTGATAACCTTTATTGTCATTTGTTTTACTGTGGGCACAACGGCCCGCATCAAAAATGAAATTTTGTTGCCTGCTCTCAAATAAAACACACAATTTCGTTGCCCGCTCTCAAATAAAACACACACATAAACCTACTATATACAGCATATGTATAGACCCACACCCCTACATATGGCGTAACAAATAAATATTAAGCACTGTCCATCTCTCTTCTTTTCCCTCTAAATATATGGCACAACCTGGTCTGGTTTGGTTTTGAGTACAACTTTGTCTGTTCCGAGGGAAAGGAGGTCGAGATGGACATCCAGGTTGGAGATGAGCCATTCCCAAAAGATTAAAACCGAAGTTTGTCTTTTTTTCATTAGGGCTGATGTTTCCATTTGCCAGCTGGAAAAAAAAAAAAACACGGTGCCAGTTTGTGTGTGTTGTGTTGTGTGTGTGTGTTGTGTTGTGTGTGCGTGAGAGATCTCTTCTCAGAGTGAAAGCTTGCTTAAAGCGTGAGACTGGTGAATTTTTATACATTTAATAACTCTTCCCTGTGGCTATCGCTTCATCCTGCGTGGAAGAAGATGAGGCCATTTTTCATTCTCTCCCTTTAGGTGAGGATAAGATCAAGGGCTTGAATTAGAAAAAGGCGCCGCACAGAGGGCAGCCTATTTATCCCCCATCGTGGTTTAATGAAGCAGAGATCCCTGGTTCTTCTAAAAACTCTTCCTTCCTTCCTTCCTTCCTTCCTTCCTTCCCTCCCTCCCTCCCTCTCATCTTCCTTCCTTCCCTCCCTCCCTCTCTCCCTCCCTTTCCTTCCTTCCTCCTTCCTTCCTTCCTCCCTCCCTCCTTCCCTTCCTTCCCTCCTTCCCTCCCTTCCTCCCTCCTTCCTTCTGTCCCTCCTTCCCTCTCTCCCTCCCATCTTCCTTCCCTCCCTCCCATCGTCTTTCCTTTTCTCCCTCCCTCCCATCTTCCTTTCTCCCTCCCTCCCTCCCTTTCCTTCCTTCCTTCCTCCTTCCTTCCTTCCTTCCCTCCCTCCCTACCATCGTCTTTCCTTTTCTCCCTCCCTCCCATCTTCCTCCCTCCCTCCCTCTCCTTCCTTCCTTCCTTCCTTCCTTCCTTCCTTCCTTCCTTCCTTCTTCCTTCCTTCCCTCCCTCCCTTCCTCATCTTCCCTCCTTCCTTCCTTCCCCTCCTTCCCTCTCTCCCTCCCATCTTCCTTCCTTCCTGTCTCCCTCCCTCCTCTCTCCCTCCCTTCTTCCCTCTCTTCTTCCCTCCCTCCCTCCCATTTGACTCCTTCACAAATATATTTCTACCCCATCTTTTAATTTAAAAAGAGCTCAAGCTGCTTTCCCAAGCAGGAACATCATTAAAATACCATAAAATTGCTAGATTGCAAACCTAATAAAAAACAGTAAAATATAGAACGCAGCAGAACATAATGAACAGCTTTACAGTAACATTCCAGAAGCGGCACAGAACATCATGAAGATAAGTCGTTCTGGACCAGAGTGGAGCCCCCCTTAGCTTAGTACAATCTCACTTGCACGCCAATCTGCCTGGAGGCCAAACCAAGCAGCGGCTCCTCTTGATGTTTCTTCTCCCAGTAAATGACGCGCTAAGGTAAACTACCCCTGAACATGGACGCTCTAGCAGGATAACGTATCCAAAACATATGGCTAGACCCGTATTTTGTGCCTTTCCACCTGGCCAATGGTTACACTGCTGGGAATTTGCCTCTTGCCTGTGATCGGTGTGGGTAACCAGGCTGTTGCACTCTTATTTTTGCACGCGAATTTGCACACGCTGAAACCGCTTCTCCTAATCTTTTTTTTGCAAAATCCGAGCCCGTCCTTGCGGAGTACCAGGGCTTCAGCCAAACCGAAATAAAAATTGCTCCTCTCTTGTGCCCCCCAGGCGGGTTCCCCTCGCACGTGCATTTGTGCAAATTGAGGAACTGTTTGCAGATAGTCCTCAACTTATGACGGATTTGCTTAGTGACTGTTTGAAGTTCCAACAGTCCTATCTGGGGGGGGGGTTTCTTACAACCTGGATCGGTCTCTTTAGCCTCCGAGCCGCTTTTTACAGACGTTTGCAGCATCCCGCAGTCACGTGACCCTGTTTTACGACGGTTTTTTGCTGAAAGTCAAGATTGACTTTTGAATTTCAGCAAAACTCAGCCCATTGATTTGCTTAACGACCAGAGTGTTCGCTTAACGAACAAGGATTTGGTGAACGACAGCTGCAAAAAAAGGGCATGAAATCAGGTTGGTCATATCTGGCTTGCTTTATGACCGTAATGGGGAGGCTCTATTGTGGTCGTAAGGCGAGGATTGCTTGCACAAAAGCCAAGGGATTTGGCTTTCTTTAATAATATCATATCATTTTGTTTATTGATATCTCAGACTTTTATTAGATCGATTGTCTAGCTTCTGTTTGCCGTTTTTGTGTTACCGTATATCAATACCGTTATTTCTGGGAAATTTGGGGAGAAGAAAGCTTTTCTTTCTTTCAGCTCATAACATATAAAATTTCCATTTAAATACCGATTTGGAAGATCTATATATTCTGAAGCCTGCTACAATTAGGGGCACGTATACCTGTCTTGTATCAAGTTGCATAATTCTTTCATTTTTACTCTCTGCGCGGGAAGGTCACAGGCTCCAGCGAACAAATTTTGCCTTCTTTTCATGATTATTTGGTAAGCCCCAGAAAGTTTAATGTCAGATTTGAAAGAAGAGTTCCAAACGTAAATTAATTTACTGGATGGTTTGAGGCTAACTGTGGAATTTGACTTTTGAAAAGGTTCAGAATCCATTTTTCTTTTTTTGTCTAAGCAAAAAAAAACCAAAAACCCAAACCCCACGTATCTTTGCTTCTCTGAAACTCGTCGTAAAAGTTGTAAGCGACCTGGAATTAAAGAGAAACTTCCTGACAGTGAGGACAATTAACCAGTGGAACAGCTTGCCACCAGAAATCGTGGGCGCTCCATCACTGGAAATTATTAAGAAGAGGCTGGACAGTCACTTGTCTGAGAGAGAGAGAAAAACACATAGAGAGAAAAACAAAGAGACAAAGAAACAGAGAGACACACACACAGAGAAAGAGACAGAAAGAGAGAAAAACAGAGAAACACACACACACAGAGGCAGAATGAGAAAAAAACAGACAGAAACACACAGAGAGAGACAGAGAAAAAAAACAGACAGAAAGACAGAGAACGAGAGAAAAACAGAGAGAGAAACAGAGACAGACAAAAAGGAGAGAAAAACAGAGAGAGACAGAAAAAGAAACAGAGAGACAGACAGAATGAGAGAAAATCAGAGAGAGAGAAACAGAGAGAGAGAGACAGAATGAGAGAAAAAACAGAAACAGAGAGACAGAGAGAGAGAAAAGGGAGAGGGGGAGAGGGGAAGGGAGGGAGAGAGAGAGAAAGGGAGAAAGAAAGAAAGAGAGAGAGAGAGAGAGAGAAAGAAAGAAAGAAAGAAAGAAAGAAAGAAAGAAAGAAAGAAAGAAAGAATGTAACTAGCTAAAAGCATCAATGGACTTTCCATGGCCAAGGCAGGAATTGAACCCAGGACTCCAGACTCCTAATCCAGCTCTTTCACCACTATCAGTAGTCCTCAATTTACGACTACAGTTGGGACCAGAACTTCTGTTGCTAAGCTCTCACCCACAACTTTTTGCTGTGGTTGCTAAGTGAATCACTGCAGTCCTTAAGTGAATCACATGGTCGTTAAGAGAATCCAGCTCCCCCTATTGACTTTTCCGGCTGGAAGGCCCTGGAAAGGGGGCAAATGGGGATCAAGGGATGCTGCAACCCTTGTAAATACATACCGGTTGTCAGGCACATAAATTGTGGGGACGCTGCGCCAGTCATAAGCTTCATCATTGTTACATGATAGTAGTACCCTCACCCTTCTTCCTCCCAGGCCCCCCACCACACACGACCTCAAAAGCCTTGGAAAGACTCACTCCGTGAACGCAGTTACCCATGATGTCTACACCGAGCCTGGTGGTAGCTTCTACCGACGTTTGGGATCTGGTAGCTCCAACAGTCTTCAGAAGTGGCAAATGGTCTTGATAGATAAGATGGGAGGGGGGAAAAATGGGGGAGGACGATAAGCAAGGTGGGTGGGTGTTCTTGGACAGGAAGCACCAAGCGGACTCCATCTTCTGAGTGGAAAACGGAAGGCGAAGAGAGACGGGCGTTTGGCAGGAACTTGAGGAAATATCTCCAGGGGGTTTAGAAGGCATGCAAAAATCCCCCAGTTTTGACCTTCTTCCTGTCTTGATAACCTTCTTCAAAGTGGGACAAAAGCAACAAAGAGGTCACAGAAGAGATTCCACAGGAGAGAGAGCCAGGTCAGGTTGGTACAACAAACCGACAACGTGCCTTGTATGGTGTTTTGAAGACCAACCCATTTCTTTAATGAGGGTTTGTGGCTGTGCAAGTCTTCTCCGTAGGAATATGGTGGAGAGACTGAGCTTTGTGTAGACCCAACCGTGTTGAAGACGAAGGAAAGAGGACGGGGGTGGAAGGCAGAAGGAGACTTATCTACAGATCAGGGTCTCTCAACCTTGGCAACTTTAAGAGGGGTGGGCTTCAACTCCCAGAATCCCCCAGCCAGCATGCTTTAAGGTGGATGGACTTCAACTCCCAGAATTCCCCAGCCAACAATCTTTAAGGTAGGTGGACTTCAACTCCCACAATTCCCCAGCCAGAATGGACCTCCCCCCAAAAGATACTTACCATACTCCAGCACCAAACACCCATTGTGAACAATGGGCTCCACTTAATGACTGTGGATTTGCTTAATGACCGCTGCAAAAATTAGGTTGGTTATGTGATGATCCACTTAACAACCGGCACGGGCTGAATTACAGTCATAAGTCCAGGACTACCTGCCATCTGTTCCCCTGTTTGACAGCACATACAGTCAGAAATATTCCTTTTATCTTTGCAGCTCCATTGCCTTTCTCTGGTTTTTTTGGTGGCCTTTGGTATTCTAAGGTAGACAGTCACTGCTCAGGGAGGCTCCACCACGTGCCTGTTGACCGTTCCCCTCCCAGGTCCAGCATCAGAGCCTCTCTGAAAAGCAGTCAGCACTTAGAAACTGTCTCTAGCAGAAATGATTGATTGCCCTGAATCAGTTAGAGAGCTTTTGGGGAGAAACATGTCAGCATTAGAGGGAGAAGATCAATTTGATCTGACTGTTGATTATACTTTCCGCCTTTTTTGCTTATATTACCATGATGATGTTTTATTGCTTTTATTCTTATTGGTATGATAATTTTTATCGTATTTTCTGACACTGCTCCATCCTCTGTAAGCTTTCTTTCTTTCTTTCTTTCTTTTCTTTCTTTCTTTCTTTTTCTTTCCCTTCCTTCCTTAGTCTGTCCTTCCTTCCGTCCTTCTCTCTTTTTCTTTCTTTCTCTTTTCTTTCTTTCTTTTTCTTTCTTTCTCTCTTTCTTTCTTTCTCTTCCTTTCTTTCTCTTCCTTCCTTCCTTCCTTCCTTCCTTCCTTCCTTTCTTTCTTTCTTTCTTTCTTTTTCTTTCTCTTCCTTCCTTAGTCTGTCCTTCCTTCCTTCCTTCTCTCTCTTTTTCTTTCTCTCTTTTCTTTCTTTCTTTTTCTTTCTTTCTCTCTTTCTTTCTTTCTCTTCCTTTCTCTTCCTTCCTTCCTTCCTTCCTTCCTTCCTTCCTTCCTTCCTTTCTTTCTTTCTTTTTCTTCCTTCCTTAGTCCTTCCTTCCTTCTTTCTCTCTCTTTTTCTTTCTTTCTCTCTTCTTTGCTTCATCTTTCTTTCTTTCTTTTCCTTCCTTAGTTCTTTCTTTCTCTTTCTTTCTTTCTTTCTTTCTTTCTTTCTTTCTTTCTTTCTTTCTTTCTTTCTCTTCCTTCCTTAGTCCTTCTTTCCTTCCTTCCTTCTTTCTCTCTTTTCTTTCTTTCTTTCTTTCTTTGAAGTCCATACAGCTTAAAGCATGCTGGCTGGGGAATTCTGGGAATCGATTCCACCCAGCTTAAAATTGCCAAGGCTGAGAAACGCTTCAGGAGAAGGAATATCACTATCACCATCATTATCCTACGATGTTCAATGAACTTTATTCCCCGCACACAATGCGCAAGATCGTATCTCATTCTTTAATTTAATTTGCACAGCGCCCGGCTTAATATTAATAAACATATAATTGCCTTTATATTAGACACGGACTCTTCCCATCCCAGGGCAGATACTGTTGGCAAGCTTCTCAAATTAGTTTGCAGAGCTTATTTCACTGTCACGTGTCAGTATTAAAAAAATGTGGGTTGTCTCTTTTTTTTAAGGGGGGCAAGGAAACCTCCCACACAACACCTGCAACATCTCACAATTGTGCGGTCACAAACACAACTGGCTTTACTGCCAGTTCCTGGCAGGTGACGCTTCCAGAGGGCCCCGTTTTCCCCGCCGGCGAATTCCTGCGCGGTTTTAGTAATTACTCAGGATCTGAATAATTCAGCAATAATTTTGTATAACAACCGAAGTTTCACATTCTTTAATTACAGCAGTGAAGTGCCAGAGAGTGTGCGCGCATTTGTGCTAAATTATTCATCACTTATCATCTCCACAAGCAACTATTAAGACAGATTACTCCGGGGACAGACCAACCTGTTTGCGGGGAACGTGCTAAATTATTGCTTTTCCACTGATTTATCTCTTCTTAAGACCCCGCCCCACGTCTTAGGGGCTTCTTTTTTCCTTCTCCAGAAAGAAAATCTGGGTTCCCATTTCTTAATTCTCTTGCAAGCAAACATAAATAATCTCTTTGGCTTTAAAGAAGCAACGGACGGAAACCAATCCAGAAGAGAAGCAACCCAGAACTAAGGAGAAACTTCCTGACAGTTAGAACAATTAACCAGTGGAACTACCTGCCTCCAGAAGCGGTGAATGCTCCAATGCTGGAAGTTTTTAAGAAGAGACTGGACAAACCATTTGTCTGAAATGGTATATAGGGTTTCCTGCCTGAGCAGGGGGTTGGACTGGATGACCTCCAAGGTCCCTTCCAACATTATTATTATTATTATTATTATTATTATTATTATTATTATTATTATTACTATAGCTGAAACCAAAGGAAATTAGCCCAGCCTTCAAAGTTTAATCAGGAGATGCTTCATGCTTTTGCACTGATTATATCCAGGTAAGTCCTCGACTTACGACAGTTCGTTTAGTGACGTTTCAAAGTTACAACGGCACGAAAAAAAGTGAATTATGACCGTTTTTCACACTTAGGACCGTTGCAGCGTCCCCAGGGTCATGTGATCAAAATTGAGAGACTTGGCAACTGACTCACATTTATGACGGTCTCGTCTAGGGATCCTGGGATCCCCTTTTGCAACCTTCTAATCAGCAAAGTCAGATTCACTTAACAACCGTGTTACTAATTTCACAATTGCGGCGATTCGCTTAACAAGCGTGGCAGGAAAAGTCGTAAAATGGGACTTAAGAAATTTCTAGCTTAGCAACAGAAGTTTTGGGCTGAACTGTGGTCGTATGTTGAGGACTATCTGTACACAGCTTCTTTTTTTCCTTCCTTTGGCCAGCTGTTTGAATGAAACCTCCACAAACTGGCGCAGTCTATCTTTCAAGACAGTGCCAGCAGCAGACCAGATCAGGTTTGAGGAAGCTTCTTGTCCACATCTTTGAGAGTATTCCAGTGAAATTATGATTATTTATATGATATACATTGTATTATCCAAGCCCCAGGTGTGTCGTTATTACGTTATTTCATTTTTCTTAAAGAGAAACAGAGTCCTCCATTTACGACCGCAGTCAGGATGAGAACTTCCACTGCTAAGCAAGGCGGATAGGTGAGCTGCACCCGAGTTTACAATCTTTGGGGCTACCGTTGTTAAACGAATCAGCTGAAGTCGTTAAATGAATCACGTGGTTGCTAAGCAAACCCGGCTTTGCCTTACAAATGGGGGTCGCACGGCCCCGGGATGCTACAACTGTCTTAGATACACTCCAGGTGTGATGATGTGGCCATGGGAATGCTGCCTTGGTCGTAAGTGCGAGGACCGGTCGCTAAGTCACCTTTTTCAGTACCGTGGTAAGTTTGAACGATCATTAACTGAATGATGGTAAGTGGAGAAGTACCGTATTTGCATTTCCCTTTAAAAAATAATAATAACGTGACTTCTTAAGCACTCAGAGGTGCTGAAAGGGCTGGGCTGCAATGCTAATCCCCAAAGACCCATGCTCCTTCACACCCCAAAACCCATTTCTTTCACTTCCAAAATAGTAAGAGAATAAATAGCTTTAATTCCTATTTATTGTCCCCCCCCCTTGGCCTAGTGGCCAGAAGGTGGCACTGTGGAGCTATCGATCCCAGCCAGACCCTCCCTCCATGGATGCTGCTGAAAAATTTGGGGTGGAGTGGGGGGGCGGTGGTGGAGGTAAAAATCTGGTGAATAAAAGACTGGGGGAGGGAAGAAATAAAGGAAGGAAGGAAGGAAGGAAGGAAGGAAGGAAGGAAGGAAGGGAGGGAGGGAGGGAGGAAGGAGGGAGAAGAAGGAAGGAACTTGCTGCAAAAGACAAATGGGCTAATTACACTCCAGGATAATCTCAATATAGCCTCGTTTGTGGCCCTCAATCAAGAGAGATGGCAGGCGAGGTGGGGTGGATTGGGGGCAAAGAAGCAGCTTTTCAAAATGGGGCCTTTCGGTGTGGTAGGATTGAAAGCTTTGATCCTCTTTCATCATCAAAAGCCATGATCAACCCATAAGGACCAGTCATAAGTACCAGTCAGTTGCCCAGCGTCTAAATTCTGATCACGTGACGGTGGGGGATGCAGCAAGTATGAAAAACGGTTCTTTTTACAGGGCTGTTGCAACTTCGAACGGCCACTAAACAAACTTGTTGTAAGTTGAGGACTGATCTGTCCTGAACCCTCTCAACCGGGCGCATTCCGCCATGTCTTCCAGGCGCTCACCAAGGTTCTCCCTCCTGTTTTTTTTTACGAGCAGGAATAAACGATCTGCCCGTATTATCCCTGTGTTCAAATTCCCCTTCTTGTTTTATTACGGTGGATGACAGATGGAGCCCCTGCAGGTCATGGAAACGGTAAGCGTTTCTGAGCTTGGTAACTGATGAGTAACTTCACGCGGCGTCTAGGAAAGGCGAGGCGAGGGCATCCATCTCGCAGGTAACGGCAAATTTCCACCGGGGAAGAGACTGTTTACGGGCTTGGCTTTATTACGATGATTATTTTTAACAAGAGGACTAGGGTTTTTCCTCAGCCTCGCCGTGGGAGAGATGAAATTCAGCGTGGAGGCGGCCGTGGGCGAGACGCAATCACGGAGTTGAGTGCCTAGAGCGTCCTCCCTTGCTGGGTAGGAAGCCAGGAAGAATATGTTAATATTTTGGTAGGGGTTTGGGGTCTATTTTTTGGGGGGGTGGGTGGGAGAAGGTGGGTGGTCCAGAGGAAGGCAAGGGGATGTGTTGGTAAGTTGGTTAGAAAAAAGGAGGCTATTTGTCGGCCAACCATGTAATAATAATAATAATAATAATAATAATTTTAAAAAAAACCATCCACATCTGCCTATCCCAGGTCCTGGGTAAGGACTCGATAGGTAGACAAAATGCCAAATCCAGTCTGAACATCTGGCTGACTGTGCGAAGATCAATAATAATAATAATAATAATAATAATAATAATAATAATGAAGTTGGAAGGGACCTTGAAAGTCATCTAGTCCAACCCCTTGCTCATCCCATGAGCCCGGGAGACATAGCGACCATCGTAAAAATGAGTCAGTTGCCAAGTGTGCAAAACTTGATTGTGTGGGAAACCGCTGCAGCGGTTGTAAGTCCCGTTTTCAGTTTGGAATGGTCACCAAAGCAACGGTTGTAAGTCGAGGACTACCTGTACCCTTACATGTGGGGAGAGGACCCCCTCCCCATGTGCTCCACTGCCCCCTCCCCACTGTTGGCCCTGTTGTTTGATTAAGGACACGGTTGAAATTCACGCCGAGCAGCCGAGCGGAGCCGAAGAGGGCAGGCAGAGCACGCCAGGTGCTGATGCAGCGCCCGGGAGATTGATAGAGGTCCCGGGTTTAATAGACCACACCAGTTTTTCTTTTGTCAGCTGAGAATAGGTCCTTCAAGGTCCAAGCCAGAAATTACTTTTGCAAAGAAGAAAACGTACACACGTACACAGCACAGGTGCCGGGCAAGAAAGGCAGAAACTCAGACACAAAAGCCGGCTGGTCAAAGCGCCAGACGCAGACCGGGGTGGGCATCTGCACACGCTTTATTTTTCACCCCAAGCGAAGATTCAAAAGGATGAAGAGAAGAGAATCTAAGAGTGCTTTATGCAACGCCTTGAGGACATCTTGTTACAGATATTGTGGAGGTCTGCTCTCAGATTCTTGCCTGTTTAGGGTCTCTGGATGGGTGCTTTGTTGGGGGGGGCATTAGAGTTAAGTGGCTAGACCTCTTGAGGGCTACACACACACACACACACACACACACACACACGGCTCCCTTAATAGAGTGCAACGGCATCTGGATGGTCGTCTGTAAGAAAGGTTTTCGCAGGAGAAGAAGAAGCAAAGCCTGAGGGTGGAGTCAAGAAAGGACTCAGCCTAGAATCGTTACGTGTCCACAAAGGCTTCAAGCCCAATCCCTCTTGAATTCCCTTAACCCATTTAATGCTGGCCGTTAGTTGATTCTTGGGTATAGCCATGAGATGTATATGTAGGGGTGTGGGTCTATACATACGTTGTACATAGTATGTTTAGGTGTGTGTCATGTATGTGTTTCACTTTGAGAGCGGGCAACTAAATTTCATTTTTGATGTCTGCCATTGTGCCCACAAGAAAAAAAATTACAATAAAGGTGATCTTATCTTATCCAACAGGAGGTTGAATTGGATGACCTTCGAGGCCCCGTCCAACTCCATGGTTCCATGAAGATCACTGTGGGGAAAGCGAATCCTTAATTCATCCGGGGGGGGCAATTTGATGAATTCATCTGATGAATTCGTCATTCGTTCACTATGAACCCCCCACCCCCACCCCCAAGCTGGAGGTTGGACTAGAAGACCTTCAAGGTCCCTTCCAGGTCTGTTATTCTGTTGTGTTCTGCTGTTTGAGAACACTCAGAAACGCTGACGATCTGAACATCAAGGATTTCAGCCAAGTGAGAAAATTAAAGAGTCCACAGAAATATCCAGCAATCTCTTTAGCAAGGAAATCCAAATTCCCAAAGGCAAATTCCAGATGTGAACATCAGCATTCTTGTCTCCTTTTGGCCTGCGAAACTGGAGCGCATTTGAGCAATTGAGCGAAAAAAGAACGAAAATCAGTTTTTGTGCTCCAGGAATAAAGTTCTAATGTTGGTGGGCTCAACATCCTTTGTAGTATCTCACCCAGGGATGTTGCCAACGGCGGTTTGGTTTTTGGGCAAGCCAAGCTGGTGGTTTTTTTTTTTCCTTGCATAATTTAAATTTGGGATAATTTAAACCATTTAAAGCTAGGTCTCTTAGCTGATGCTATGACCCGCGGCTGGCTGACAGGAATTGACGGGACAAGGAGGGAAGAGATACGATTGGTTCCTGAAATGCTGGGGTCCCGCCCACCTTGGACCGCAATCCTTCCTTGAGCAGACAGAACTCATTTAGCAACCGCTTCAGTTAGTGACTATTCACACTTACAACGGTAAGGAAGAAGCAACTGTGCTTTGTAACCAATCCTTGCGTTTGAGAGCTTTTGCAGGTCTGTAAAGCAAAGGAAAACTGAAGTCGGATGGCCAGTCGGTTGCGGCTTCACTTAGTGACTGTTTCACTTAACAACCAAATGGCTAGCCCTAAAAATGGTCACTAAACGAGAATTACCGTACCTATGCCTGCGTGGTTCCCATCTGTTGCATTTGTTCAAAGCTTTTCGAAAAACTCCTGCTAGACTAAAAGTTTTTAACCTGGGGTCCACAAACTTGGATGGAAAAACAGTGATGAGTTTATTTTCAATTAACCTTTAATTGAAACTTAGCTTTTCATTCAATAATGTTGTCGGCCACAATGTAATCTATGGCCTCTGAGCTACAACCCACTCGTTCACTTCAATAAATCTCCCTATCTAAAATTATTTTAGCCCTAGGAAAGGCTACTGTCTTGTTATTGATTTAACGGATGAATAAGGAAGCGCATGTATTATCTTACTTTTTGTTTTTGCTTTTTGAAAAATATTTTGAAGCCAGTGTTTGTGCAGAACCAGCCTTCTCTGTAATACCATCTGTAGTTATGTACACACTCTTTGGGCACAAAAAGGGTGCAGAAGCCAGCTTTCAACAGAGATCATCCCGTTTTTTAATTAAAAAAAAAACTTTGGCAAAGAAAGAAGCAGTTACGTAAAGGGTCTATCCACAGAATAACTATCCATAAATGTATAATGCAGAGTTGGAAACTGAAAGAGAATAAAAATAGAGAGGCTTCAGACGTGCAGCCTTCTCATATGCACAGACAAGTAACACCTATGCCAGCTTCTTGCTAAAACTGAGAAAGGGACCACTCACACCCAGACACACGTACAAACAAGACATGTGACTTCTTCATTGCAAAAGCAAGCACAAAGATATCAGAATTCATGTTAATGTATGCTGATTAGTGTACATTTAAAGAATTCTAATTCTTATTCTATTCTACTCTACTCCATTCCATTATTCTGTTCTATTCTATTCTGTTCTGTTATATTCTATATTCTATTCTATTCTATTCTATTCTAATTCTAACTCTATTTTATTGAATCCTAGGACCCAGTAAGCTTTCTCTTCCTTGCTCAAAATCCATTTCCGCAGGGGCTGAATTCACACACCTGCTAAACCCAGATTAGTAAACACAACACTGCCTTGTGTTCATCTCATAGGCGATGTCCAAAATTTATTACAGGTGGTCCTCACCTTTACAATTGTGCCGGAGCTTGGAATTTTCATAGTTAATTTACAATGACGGTAAGTCAAGACACCCATGTTGATTTTACAATCTTTTTTGCGGTGGCCATTAAGCAAACACAGCGGACGTTAAGCAAGTCAATACATTCCTAGGGGTGGTTTTTGCTCAAAGCCAGCTGAAAAAGCCCATTTCCAGCAAAAAAAAAAAAATAATTACCATATTATGTGACCACAGAATACAGCAACCATCTGTAAAGGTGAGCTGGTTGCCAAGCTCACAAAATGTGGATGTGACCATGTTTTGTGTATGTGTGTATGTGTGTGTGTGTGTGTGCACTGCTGTCAGCACTCTGGATATGGGTTGTAAGTACTTTTGGAAGGGGTCTGTCATAACTTGAAATGGTCACTAAGCAAGCAGTCATTAAACAAGGACTACCTGTGTGACTTACCTGGATTTGTTCACCTCAATTGCTTAAATAAGGATCCTGTTTTGGGAACACCGGAGGTCACTAACCATCATATTCTATTTTAGCTCAGTTGTGTGTTTTGCAGACCTGATCATCAAGTCTCTGCAGCTAGCCACGATGATGGAAAAATGATGGCCCAGACTTGATGAAATCACTCTGCAAAGTCATCCTTATCTGTTGGCAGTTTGGTATTGAATGAAATTAAAGATTAAACACATTTTTAATCACGGTAAAAGAGAACGAAAATTTTTGGGGGAAATAAATATGTATTAGCTTAGGAGGAACATGTATTTTAAGTAGTATGCTACCTTTTTATTTTCATTTACTCTTATTCTTTTTTAGTCTTATTTATTCCTTAAGAAAGGTCCAAGTATTGGGATGGCTTACTTGAGAAAAATAGACTTAAAATATTTAAATGTAATTAACTTTGAGAAAATCTTAACCAGTAAGAATGTCTTGAACATTGTGGGAAAAATAAATGTAAACAAGGACTGTAAACAGGATCTATGATGAGGCAAGCCAGAATGACTAGATAGAAAAGAAATATTATATTGATGCGACTATTATCTGTAGAAGCATTAGAAATTTTTTTACCCTCAATTGTTATCTGTCAAAACAACAAGAATTGTATAAACTTAAGGTGGGCAAAAGAGAACATTATGGGAAAAAGAGGAAATCAAATAAAGCTATTATGTGGATAATAGATCATAGAAACTAATTGTTAATGAATGTTTTTTTAAATCGAAACCCAGACAACACACTGTTTACCAAATATTAAGGTGACCATGTTAAAAAAAAACAATCAAATATATTATATTTGTGTTAAGAGCGTCCTGACAAATAGTTTTCTCATTCACCTCCTGCCCTCCAGATTCTCTTCCAGTTTCTATTTGGAATATGATGGTTTGAATGTAAGTGGAGAGACTTAATTTCATTACCCTACGATTCAAGATTTGTAAGGAAGAGAGGTACAGTTTTGCAAGGATAACCGTCATTATGAGAAGATTACCTGTCTGGGTTGACCATTTATGGTGCATCAGATGGACAGAAATATTGTTCAGAGCTTGCTCTCTCCAAATAAAGTTGGAAAATTCTCCTGTCTTCAGCCACCCATGTCGACAGGGCTGATTTCATGGCATCAAGGATGTGACTCAACCAAGGAAGTTCTCTTTGGTGGGTTTCCATGATAGCAATCTGAGCTTTCTCCATAGTCAGGAGTCTTGGAGAACATTTTGAGGTTCTCCAGGACTTCACCCACGCCTCCTCTCCACATGGGGCTTGTCTTGACCGTGAATTGTCCCCAGATCCAGGTCTGCAAAGATGGTCCACTCACCTGGTGCTCAGTCCTACCCAACCCTCTTGTGGAGCTTCTGAACGTCCACCCCACCGAGACCCCCTCCAGGATAGGAAAGCAGAAAGACGCCAGCAAGATCACATGTATTATCCAGATATATTTATAAGTTTATCTTCTGAGATTAGCACAGGATATTTAGAAAGGTTATAAAGGAACATTGACATCAGTTGTAATTCGTTTTTTTTCTCCCCACGTCCCCTGAAAGTTTATATACATACAAGAACAAAGCACAACAATTTTGAGACCGCCAACCTCACTTGTCCCCACAGCCAACCCAGAAGATTGCATGTGTGTGTGTGTTTGTGTAATGCATGTTTTCCTTTTTTAAAATTATTATTTTTAATTTTAGCTCAGTACAAATATGGCTTTTGGGTAAATATTCGGAGACTTTGACTCCAATCAGGAAGCATTTTTTGACCAATTCCAGTAAGGGGGCGCCAGCTGCCAGGAGAGACAATAATTGCATTTTTTTGATGCTAGCCAGCAAGATATTATATATATAATATATTATGTGGCCACTTACTGTGGTAATATATATATATATATGTATATATATATATATCTGTGCTGTTGCAATTCACATGCATAGGATTATATTAAGATTATGCATAGAAGCAGGGTGTGAAAGGTGGCTGAGATACAGCTACTGAGGATTATAATTCCCACCAGCCTCCGATAACAGGTGCAAAATGCTGGTGCGTGAGGGGTATTGTAGTCCAAAATATTGCAATACGGCCTGCAGCAAAGTCTGGGGGTTTTGTTTCTCCCTATCCCACCTCCACCATTTTTCGTTGTTTCTGGAGAACTTCTAGAGACCTTCTCTTCTAGGCCTGGCGAGCAGTGGTGGAAACAGGGTGGATGAAATGGAAATGAAACAGAAGCTACTTCTGGATGATAGGAAGAGCAGAATAGTTTTCCTCACGTAGAGGCCAATGTCCACCTTCTCTCCAATTGCCATCACCAATGGTGACCGTTGAGGTCTGTTTTTAGAAGGGCCGATAGCTCACATGGAGTCCCTCCATTCTTGAATGGCCAGTGGAGGCCGTTTCTCTGCCGTCCAGTGTGGGGTGGATTGGGCCCAGAGACTAAAAGGGCTATTGGGAAGGAGGATGGCAGGACAGCCTTCCTCACCCCACGGGTGTTTTAAGGCCTTGACCCAAAGGTGCTTTTTCAAAAGACAACTGGACTTGGTTGGACAGAGTCAAACTTTGTCAAAGTCCAGTTAACTTTTGGAAAAGCGTCTTTGGGGCAACCATGACCTGGATGATGGACAATCTCCATCGACACCTGGAGGAAAGGGGAAATCAGAGGCTGCAAATTGCCAAGTCCCAACGGAAGCCAGGCACCATCCATGTTAGCTATTGCCCTGGAAAATGAGTCAACCTTGTCTGCTTCCGACCTTGTGGCCAAAAAGGGAAGCAAATAGTCCTGCCCAACAAGAACAGTTTTTTCCCCCGTTTTGGAATGGCAAAATAACTTTCAATGGTGCCTAATGAGCTTGGATACAAGGAGAAACCAGAGGCTGCCAAATGGGAAAATTGTCAAGCCCCCCTCCCCAAAGGAAGCCAGAGGCAATCCACTTAAGCTTTTTTTCCCCCCTTGCATCAGGGCTTAGATGCTAAGTCAGGGGTCTTCAAACTTGGCCCTTTGATGACTTGTGGACTTCAACTCCCAGAATCCCTCAGCCAGCGTGCCTAAGAGTTTGGCTCCTCCAGAACGAAACGGAGCAGAAGCCACCAGGTTAGGAAAATGGCGCTCCTTGTATTTTATTTTTTTTAAAAAATAGAACGAGTGAAGGAAAATCGAATGCGTGTTCCCCATTCTCGCAAATGCATAGGCAGTGTTTAAAAATTTAAAAACGGGAATTTGTTCAACCTCAGAAGCATTTCTGTGGTTGGCAAGGTGCCAGAGGAAGGGATGATGGTTGTGAAAATTAAACACCCCAACTGGAACTAGAATTTACTTTCATGTAAGTGTGTAAACCTGGCTCAAAACGGGCTGGCTTTGAAGCATGATCTTGGAAGCTTGCTGATCAATTTATATCAATGCATTTCAAGTTGACTTCCCAGCATCCTTAGCATGGACCACCAGAGTTTTTTTTTCTTTTCTAACTGACCAAGTTGGGATGGTGGATACCATCCTTATCATCAGCCAAATAACAACATCCATCATAAAACTAGTGGGCTAAATCAGGGGTCTCCAACCCTGGCCATTTTGAAGACTTATGGACTTCAACTCCCAGAATTCCTTAGCCAGCATTTTTAACTTGATGACTGTGTTGCTTAGTGACAGAGTTGCTGGTCTGAGTTGCAATTGGTAAGTGACCACCAGGGGACAGTAGGTGACCGGTTTTGTCCTATCATAATCCCATGCTGCCTCCTGGTGGTCATTCTAAGTAAGAACACGCGCAACAAAGAGCTAGAAACTAACTTGACTGGCTGGGGGATTCTGGGAGTTGAAGTCAAGAAGTCATAAAGTCTGGAGACTCCTGACCTAAACTGTTGGGCTCCTGTTTGCAAACTCCATCGTTTTCATAAACAATGCCGTAACAATGAAATAAAACAAGAAAACCATGAGCAAAAGGTAAGTAAATTCACCAGAATATTGGGGAGGGGTAGACGTATAAATTAATAGATATAAAGTGGGTCTGGCCCCTTTGCCAATGTGGAATTCTGCTTCTTTTCTCACAATTCAAATGGGAAGTCAATCGTCTCTAGAGAGTCAATTGAAAAAAAACAACAACGGGAAAGTAGACCTTTGTTTTATCAAGCTAAGCAGTTTCTTTCTTCCTACGACCGTTGGCTCCATGTTTTTTTTTGGGCAGAGGAGTCTGTTAGCTGCAAAAGTGAAGTTTTTCCTCCCTTGGAACATTCCCAGATCCCAGTAAACCCACCTTTTAAAGTCTCTTTCAAATCCTGGGTGCAGAGACTACCTCGCAAGGCAGGCAGGCAAAATTAAATGCAATGGGGAAAAAAACAGGCAGGGCCAAAAACACCCCATCCGCACAACCTGCCCAGAAACACAACAACGGGCCTGAACCAACCGATTCTCATGCACGAAATCTCAGCCCAGATTCCGCCCTTCCACGCATCACCTTCCTAAGTTTGTTTGGCTGGACGCCTCCTCTGGTTTGCCTTCTTAAAAGATGGCTTCAGTGGATGTAAAGAGCAGCTTATTCAAATATCATTCGCCTTTTTTTTTTTTTTTAAAAAAAGGGGGGGAACTCACATTTCTGACAGTGGTTATTAGCTGAAAAAGCTGCTGATGGGTTGGAAGCAGCGGGAGCAGTGTGCTGGCATTTAGCAACGGAAGATCCCCTGTTTGTGTTAAAAGTGCGGAGAAAATAGTCTTGCAGATAGCATGGACATTTGCAAAGAGATGCAACATTTTGTGCACCTGCTTATCACCATCATAGCTCCCTGTTGGTGGTAGGTAAGAGTTTAAAAAAGGGGGGGGCTGATAGTATTGGAAGCAATATGAAGCAGGGAGGGGTCAATTTCTGACAGAACAATTAATCGGTGGAACTTACTTGCCTCCAGCAGCTGTGAATGCTCCAACACTGGAGGTTTTTAAGAAGAGACTGGACAGCCATTTGGCTGAAATGGTACAGGGTTTCCTGCCTGAGCAGGGGGTTGGACTAGATGATCTCCAAAGTCCCTTCCAACTTTATTATTATAATTAGAGGTCCTCAGGGGTCCCAATAAAATGCAGGGGCCTGGCCCAGCCAACCTCTGGAATCAGATCTCAAGGCTTGTGGACCGTCCGTTGAGGGGCTGTGACTATCCCCAAGGAAGAAATGAGGAGGATGGAGGTGCAAAACACAACAGATGCACAGTTAGCAAGCCTCTCACGGTGGTTGAGAAATTATTCTCGTGGAAAAATGGAGGCCGGGGAGACAAATGAGCTGACACACAATTGGTTCTTGCGAGGCTGATGTGCAGAATGAGGGCTGTTTCACACTGGAGAAGATGTTAACCGGATGACAATTTAGAGAGAGGACAACTTACAGACTTGGGGAGGGTGGTGGGACAGTTTTATAGCCCCCTCCCCCAGTTCCCAGGGGCGATTCGCACAGCATATTTGTATCTGTCACAACTTTAAGCGACGATTTGTCTTGATCTCTAAGGGCAGAAGCACAGTTGTGGTGGGGTGCCGATAGGATAATCAGAGCCAGACTTTTAAAAATGCAAGGGTGTGTGTGTGTGTGTGTGTGTTCCTTTTAAAAGTGCAAAGTGTTGTTTTTTTTCCGCCCTCCTATTTAAGTGATGTTAAGTCACTAAGTTTGTTATCCCTTATCTCTGCAAGTCTCATTTTGGGAAGACACAACAGGCTTCCCACCATACTATCCCCACTCTGGATGGGCAAGCTATTAAACCAGACTGGCAGATTTGGCACAACCACAATCCCCTCAAATGACATTTAACTCAGCTGACAATTAACTAGGTTTGGCACAATGGGCACGTTAGATGTTAGTTCACTGACCGGCTGGTTAGAAGACAGCTGAGTTTTAAAAATTTTGTTTTTTTTTAATGAGAGGGATTCTGCTCTTTCTTAGAACTGTGTTTTGCTTCCAATCTTTTGCTGATGCACTGTTAAATAAATAAATAAAAAAAAAACATAGGACTGGGTTCTTTTCTGGCTGACTGAAAAGACACAATTTATTTATGTTCCCCGGAGTTGTAACTAGATTTTGCAGTTCTTTGCCACTAAGATCGCCGCGGTGCAACGTTATTGGGATATTAGTTGCAGACCTGGTTATTTTTTATTTTAAGTTATAGAACGGCGGGCGGTGGAGAGGCTGTGGAGCAGAGTCTCTGCTCAACTCAACCAACCACACGGTCAATAAATCTTTGCAGTTTTGCAATTTAACAGCCTGTCTCATAGGAACAATTCCGTCCCTGCGTTTGAACCATACGTCAAGATGGAAACGCTCAGGCCTTCTCTCTCTTCTCTGTCTCAGGCTCAATTGATTCGTTTAATTGGTTCTAGGCTTTCTGGACCGTTTCCTTGCAGGGCTGTTGTGAGGTGGGGGAAGGGGGTGATGGAAGAAAGCAGGAGATTCCCGAAGAAACCTTTAGAGGGAAGGGAAGGGAGGAACAGGCAAAAAAAAAGTTAAAAAAAAAGATGTTGATCTTGAGGACTAGGAACATGGCTGGGCCTGGCCAGAGGGTTGAGAATGTTGGAGGAAGATGGGATTCAAGTGAGCAGAGTGCAAAGTGGGTGGGGTCAGAATGCAAAGTGGGTGGGGCCAGGACAAAACCAGGCAGGGCATAAAGTGGGTGGGGCATTCTCCTTTTCTATCCCTTTATTCTTATTCTCTTTTTTCCTTCTGCTTTTTATCCAGCTTTTCTTTAAATCTCGGTTGCCCTTTTCAGGGGTCTGAACTGATTTCTTTTTGTTTTTATTTTGTAACTGTGTCAGGAAATTAGAGGGAGAAGGTTGCAGATCAAATCCTTTCCCCACCACCTCAACATTTTGAGGATCTGCATCGCCTTTTGCATCAGACACCCAAACCTTACAAAGCACTGTCCTTTCTTCGATTCTGCTAATAAATACAGGGATTAAAAAAGCCTTGAGAAATAACGCATTCCTTTCCTACAAAGATTGATTTTTTTAAAAAAAAAGAACTGTGGTTTTTCAAGATCTGTCATGAAAGTGATCTCCTGAAAAGATGGCATGATAACAGTAAGAGCAATAATAATGACAATAATTATAGCAACAATAACACCACCAATAAAACCACAGCCCTCAATGGCCACCTTGAATTATTATTATTATTATTTTCATTTATCTATTCTTGCAGCGTTGTTGTTGATGATACAAAGCCATTTATTTCTTAGAGAGAGAGAAGAGGAAATAAATTCAGAAGGCCTCTCTATTCCAGAAACCAAATATTTACATGTCTGAAAAACTCATGGTTCTAGAATCTAGTCCATATGAGGGCATCCTTTGCATAATAGGAACAATTGGCACGGTATCTCTTTACGGACCCGTTGCAAAGCTTTATTACAAAGAAAGAAAGAAAGAAAGAAGAGAAAGAAAGAAGAGAAAGAAGAGGAAGGAAGGAAGGAAGGAAGGAATGAAGGAAGAAAAAAAGAAAGAGCAGTCCTGCAGGAGTTGAATTTTTTTTTCTTTTAGCAAAAGCATGTCTGAAAAACTCATGGTTCTAGTCCATATGAGGGCATCTTTTGCATAATAGGAACAATTGGCGTGGCATCTCTTTACGGACCCGTTGCAAAGCTTTATAAGAAAGAAAGAAAGAAAGAAAGAAAGAAAGAAAGAAAGAAAGAAAGAAAGAAAGAAAGAAAGAAAGAAAGAGAACAGCCCTCTAGGAGTTGAAATATTTTGTTTCTTTTTAGCAAAAGCAACTGCCTGTTACTCTTAAAATATGTCCTAACTGGCAAAGCCATGCAAACATTAAAATCCATGCGCTTCGGTTTTTAAATGCAACACAGACAGCTGATCTGAGGCTGAACCCGTCTTTTCGGAGTGGGGATTGGGGCAGGCTGAGTCACCCAGGGGAAAACAGGGAAATAAAACAGGCAGAGAATTTAAAACAGCAAAAGCAGCTGATCTGTTTGAAAAGGCAATGCAACCCCTGCATGTTCATTCGGGGTTGGAAATGAACACACACAAACCGCTGAAGAGGAAACATCCACAAAGGAAGCAATTGTTGCATGCGGAAAGAGACAGCCAGGGCAAAACACCGCCTCTAATTAGCGATGCACACAAAACACACAGCCACAAGTAACCTTGTGTTTGTCTTTCCAGCACACAAAGACCTTGAAGACTTCAATTGTCGGCTTTTTCTCATATTGATTGAGGCCTGGTGGATTTGCGCTCTTAAAACTTTAGGCCAGTATCTGTCCACCTTGCCAAGTTTAAGATGGATGGACTTCCAACTCCCAGAAAACCTGGCAGGGGAATTCTGGGAGTTGAAGGCCACCCATCTTAAACGTGCCAAGGGGGAGAAATACTGTGTTCGTAGGGATAACACCCACCCCAGATTGCCCCATGAAGAGGACATTGCTTTCGAAAAGAGAGACCAAGTGCTGAAAATCAAGTTTAATCCACTTTGTTGAATCCATGCCATTGGAAAAATCGGAATATCCAGAGAGCCGATTCCGACAGATGTGATCTGAAACATTGCTTTGAAGTTCCGAACAGAAGGGCTGGGTTGAAAATGTCCAGCTGGATTCCGACAAATCAAATTTTCAAGATCTTTTCCCAAATCATCCGAATGGCTCTGTTCCATTCAAGCCACTGAATCAGCTTGGGGGACTTTCCTGCACGGATTTGTCCCATCGCACGGATGCAACATGGAATTGCATAACCCCAGGAGATAACTCTTAATGAGATTTTCCATGGGTCCCTCACAATTAGATGTGGGGTAGGGGACTCAATCATCTATCCAGAGGTTGGGTTTTTTTTAGCAGCCTCAAATCACACGCTGAGAAATTCCAAATAAATGACCGGATGAAATAAATCCAGCTTATTCTGGAAATTCTAGCTATCTCCAGCCAGGCTGCAGATCTGAATTATAGAAGTTGCCAGAAGATCATGCATGGATACAGGTTGGATGTCCTCAAAAGTTGAGTGGCTTTGGAGACCCAGAATTGCAAAATCTGATCTGCTGGAGAAAGACTTCCCTCCCAAATGCTACATCCTGCCAAAACTAGGAATCAACACAAAAATTGTGTTGATTTTGTTCTCTGCCTGTATACCCATCCTACTAAATTTAAAAAAAAAACAACACTAAAAAGTTGTTGTAAACTCGCAAAGCTAAGGCAACAGATTTACCCACCCCGGACTGGATGTTAAAACGCCAAAAGTCAACCCTTTTGTTTCATGCAAACATTTCAAGTTCATGTTGCTTTATTTCATGCAAAGATCCACCACGTTCCTAGCCCTCACTGAGGCGTTGGTGAAAACGTTTAAAACACTGGCAGTGGTCATGTGATTTCCCCCCCCACTCCATTTACTATAGGCTTTTACGATAAAGCGGCCGGGTAGATGCTTTACTTTTTAAAAAGTGTGTTGTTACGAAGGTTTACAATTTGTTGTCGTATCGGCTGGCAAGCTTATTACTTTCCGGGCCTGATCTTCACACGCAAAAATCACGCGAGTTTCCTGATTGTGAGTAAACATAAACTTATCCTTCCGGGATCCCATTGTGAGATCGAGACATGGGATTTGCAACGAAACGGAGCACAAGTGAGTTTGCCAAACGCCACCATTTCCTGTCCGGGTGATAGAAAATGGCGGCCATTTGCTTGTAATTGTATTCATGGGGGGGGGGCGGGTGAGATCCGAGTGACCTCCCTTCTTCCCCATTTTGTAATTAGCAGTGAACAATAAGAGTTTATGGCGGAGGCGGTTGCTTTCAAGAACCCTGTTGGTGCAACTCTCCCCATCGCTGGACACTTTGGAGGCTGGAATTTGTGATGCTCCCCCCCCCAAAGTCCTTTCTCCTCTCTACGACAAGGAAGACGCAGAAGGGTGTGACACCCCGGTACACTGACACAGTGTGGCTCAATGAGGAAGACCCTGGCGAGGGGCCTCCATCCCGACCCCTTTAAAACACCCGTGTCCACCACCATCCCCACCTCCCAGGATTGGGAAGCTTTGACGACACCCAACTACACTGTCACAATTTTTTTTTTTTTTTGCCATGGGTTTGGGTAGAGACTTCAATTGGGTAGCTGGCGCCCCTCATTTACACAGACCACAAAAACAACATTCTTCTCTTCGGACAGAGAGAGCAACGAAACGAGACTGAAGGATAAAATCAGTTCACAAGGACTTTCCCTTCGGCATAGACCCTTCCCCACTTCCCCCCCCCCCGGGAGCTGGTACCCACACAAAGTAGGCGGATCCAAGTGCAGACCCCCCCTCCCAAATTTGTGCAAATCACGAGAACCGAAAGTAAGAGATACCGATTCTTCAAGATCACTCGAGCGATTGGTACTCGTTGTCCAAATCAAGCAGTTATCAAGGACCGATTGTTCCGAATCGCAAAAAATTCGAGCTGCTGGTACCAATTTGTCTGAATGAAAAGGATCCAAATCAATTACCCCTTTGTCCAAAACTTGGATCCGAATAACTGGTGCTCAAAATCAAGAGGACTGGAGTATTAATTAATTACTGGTATTAATTCGTCCAGATCACTGGCCCCGAGGAACTGACGCCAATTATTCAGAATTTAAATAACTAGTAGCAATTTATCCAAACCAAGAATCCAAATGATTTGAGATTAATTTTTTTCTGAATAAAGAGGATTCAGGTAACTAGTACCAGCTTGTTTGAAGAAGATTGAAGGAATGGGCACCAGATCAAGAAGGACTTCAAAAACAAGAGACCCTTCCTTCTTTTTCAGGACGACCCGGAAAGAAAAGATTCTTCAAACACCAGCGGCATCATTTGAGGCCCATGGAACTCTGTGACCTTTTAAAATATATCTTACTTTGTCTCTCAGTTCAATTAATCTGGACCTTTTGGTCCTTCACCCCCTCCAAGATCCGATTTGCAGGAGAAATTAAAAAAGATTTCTCACTGGGTGGAAGGACCTACAAAGCACCCGTGGGGGGGGGTCTATACTCCAGAGCAGTGTATGCTAACCTCCCAATTGATTGATTTGGTTTTTTTTTGTTTGTTTGTTTGCACAAGCTGATTTTATCCTGGAGGCCGTAGCCCACAATGAGGACCCTCCTAAAGAACGCAGACCCATCCAATCCCTCAAACGCTCCCCTAACCCTACCATCAAGACATGCCCACAACAGAAGGGGACAGGAACCAGAGACCTTGGAAAAGGAAAAAGGAAGAAAAAAGGAAAAAAAAAAAAGGGAGGGGGGGGGAAGAAGAGGGGAGGGGAGAGACCCCCCTCAAACCAACAGCCCTGAAAACAAGCCAGAAGGAAGGAAGGAAGGAAGGAAGGAGAACAGGAAGGAAGATAGCATCACCACTCACTCTTCAGCTCTGTGTGTTTAGTGTGAGCTTGTCAGCCGCAGGAATGTAGATACGAGCAAGCAGGAAAAGCTGGGGGGGGGGCTTTTGTTGGTTTCCAAGGATTCCCAATGTTCAGATGGGGTGGGGGGGACTTCCCCCCCTCCCACGTGGTTGCAATGTTTTATACAAGTTCAAGAAGCATCATGAGCCAGCTGATCTTTTTTATGCCCCTCCCTCCTTCTTTCTCTCTCTCTCTCTCTCTTTCTCTCTCTCTTTCTTCTTCTCCGTCTACCGTTAATCTCGGCCCTGCCTTTCTCCAGTCTCCCCGTCCAATTCTTTCCTGGGCACGAGAGAAATGCCATAGACATATTGGGTGGGTGGGTGCCGTTGTCATCCAATGGTTGAGGTCGGGGTCCAATTGGCCACTACTTCTTCCTTTTTTTTCCCTTCCTCCTCCTCCTCCTCCTCCTCCTCTTTCTCCCCCCTTGCTGCCCTGCCACCATGCCCCACCCTTCCCCTCTTAGATGAAATATTCCTTCTTGTCATCCCCGCCTGGTTGACCTCCCTCTGCGTTGATAATGGCTGTGTCGGCATCCGGGGCGTCGTCTGAGCCTTTGGCCTCGTGGGTCAGATAGGTACCTGTGAGGGAGGGAGGGAGGATGAGAAGGAAGGAAGGATGGTGATAGAGAAGAAAGGAAGGAAGAAAAGATGGTGATAGAGAAGGAAGGAAGGATGGTGATAGAGAAGGAAGGAAGGAAGGAAGGAAGGAAGGAAGGAAGGAAGGAAGGAAGGAAGGAAGGAAGGAAGGAAGGAAAGATGGTGATTGAGAAGGAAGGAAGGTGATAGAGAAGGAAGGATGGTGATAGAGAAGGAAGGAAGGATGGTGATAGAGAATAAAGGAAGGAAGGAAGGAAGGATGGTGATAGAGAAGGAAGGAAGGATGGTGATAGAGAAGAAAGGAAGGAAGGAAGGAGAGAGAAAGGGAGGCAGGGTGAGAAGGAAGGAAGGATGGTGATAGAGAAGAAAGGAAGGAAAATGAAAGGGAGGGAGGGAGAGCAGGAGGAAGGAAGATGATAGAGAAGGAAGGAAAGGAAGGAAAGAATGAAGGAAGGGAAGGAAGGATGGTGATAGAGAAGAAAGGAAGGAAAATGAAAGGGAGAGGAAGAGCGAGAGTGAGAGGAGGAGGAGGAGAGAGAGAGAGAGAGAGAGAAAGAGAGGAAGGAAGCATGAAGAGGGATGGAAGAAGACAAATGAGAGTTATTTGCCTCAATTCCTAAGTAAAAAAAGGACACACATTTTTGCAAATCTTCTTTCGACAAGCGGATAAAAAGGGAGGAACATCGGAGGCTCTAAGTTATTCCTGCGTCTTAGGCCAAGCGCTGGAATTTTGACCAGGTGACCATGGGGTGGCTGCCAGGGCCGTAAGCGCCAAGTTCGCCCTCCGTGACTCCTCTCAGTGACATTGTAACTTCAGATGGCCGCTAAATGAGTGCCTGTAAGTCCAGGACTTGCTGTCTGCCTCCAATTTGAGCAACAGATTAACCGAGGCCTAACAGCTAAGAGCTGGGGCAGTGGAACTCCAAGACACATGAAGATGGAATGAGAGGGACCGAAGGGACAGGAGGGGGCTGGCCCTTACCTTTGTGCCGAATCAAGTAGTGTCCCAGAACGATGAGGAGGATAAGGAGGAAGAAGATGATGAAGGCTACCACGCCCCCAACAATGGCGTGATAGCTGCTCCTTTGTGGTGTCATGGGACTGGCATCTATCCGGATGGAAGCAGAATGTGAGATTCAGGGGCTAAAGCAAAGATCATCATCTCCTCTGCAAAATCACTTTATTGCTTGCTATTTCTGCGTTTCATACCCATATACCAGAATACCTTCATTTGTCTTTAAGAGGCTATGATATTATCTCAGCAAGCTGGGATATCTAGGCTAGAGTATCCCGATAAGCCACTCAGAACATGGCTTGCTTGTTTGAAACCACCTTATGGAAACCTAGCCAACAACTGGCCCAAATTTATCTAGTGAGCTTCAATAGCTAATGGACTCAAGTCTTCTCAGTGCCTTAATCCAATTTTTCTTGAGTCTGGCAACTTTAAGATATGTGGACTTCAACTCCCAGAATCCCCCAGCCAGCCACGCTACCTGGAGAATTCTGGGAGTTGAAGTCCTCAGATCTTAAAATGGTCACGGTTGAGAAACGCCATCTTAATCCGTAACTACATTTGCTCGTTCACTGTATTTTCTCTTCGTAGCCAGAGACATTGTCATCGCCATAAGTTTGTGCGTTTCTTTTAAAAAATGCACACACCACAACAAAACACAGGTTACCCAGGGTTGCAAATTTTGCAAATAGCTGAGATGAATTTCTGAATTACACAGAAAAGATAGGCTCGACGTGTAAATGGATGGGTGGGCTAAAACAACAAAATTTGCACAGCATTGTGATATGCTTGGAAAGCTGCACCGCGACCGTTTGTAGCTTTGTAGTAACTTCACCAAATTAGTGAGGGTGTTTTTCTTCTTCGGGGAACTAAGGTTGATCATGAATGACGACCATTTTCAATTCTTGGCCAAGACGAAATGTAAACCAAATACTTTGGGATTTTCTACTTTCATTCCCTGACTCTACAGAGCTAAAATGGATCTTTCAGGGTTTCAATTTAGTTTGCTGTTGCAATAAAAGTTGCTAATCAGGACAAATATGGATATCCCTTCTTTCCTGTATCCACCAGGACCCTTGGTAGGCCAATCTTCGTAACAAAATTAGGACCTTTATTAGATTGCTCTAGATGAATTTTTTAATAACTCTGATATTGTCTGAAGTTAATTTTTAATGAGGTTTATTTGGGTTAATGACCTTTGCAGCCCCAGTGAATTTCTGCCTGTCCCTGTGTTGTGGAAAACTAGGCTGTAGACATTGCCCATAAATAAAGGAATTTGTCAAGGCTGGCACCTTCCTCACAATTGTCATTTGCACAACAGCCCTTTGAGGTAAGTGAAAAGAGCTTGCATGGGGTGAGGGCGTTTCCTAGGATTAGGGTTAAGGATTAGGGGTTGCCCCAAAGAAGAGGGGATCAAGCTGTTCTCCAAAGCACCAGAAAGCAGGATGAGAAGCAACAGATAGAAACTAAGCAAGGAGAGAAGCAACCTGGAACTAAGGAGAAACTTCCTGACAGTGAGGACAATTAACCAGTGGAAACACCTGCCTCCAGAAGCGGTGAATGCTCCAACACTGGAAGTTTTTAAGAAGAGACTGGACAGCCATTTGTCTGAAATGGTATAGGGTTTCCTGACTGAGCAGGGGGTTGGATTAGATGACCTCCAAGGTCCCTTCCAATTCTATTATTCTGTTAATAAGTCATCTAGGAGGCAGAGGGGCTACAAAACACGTCTTACCGCTGACGGACAGGGTGTATTTCGCAGAAGACCTGCCCACCAGATTGGAAGCATAGCAAATATAAGTCCCACTGTCGCTTTTGTTTAGGTTGGGGAAGCTGAGGATGTCATCTTGAGCATCCAACAAGGCCGTGTCAGCTCCATCCTTCTCCCACCTGTATTCCTGAGGGCTGTAAGGAAAGGAAGAAAAGAGACGTCTCAAACGATTTCAAACAGATCCATGGATCAAAGGGAAGGGAAGGCGTTTATTTTTTTGGCTTTGTTTAGTCCTTGCTTAACAACCACTCATTTTACAATGGTTCGACGTTACCACAGGCATGGAACAAGTGCTTCAGGGCCCGTAAAACGAGGGTGTCCCAACCTTGGCAATTTTAAGACTGGTGGACTTCAATTCCCAGAATTCCACAGCCAGCATGGCTGGCTGAGGAATTCTGGGAGTTGAAGTCCACAATTTCACTTGTCTGTCTGTCTGTGGAATTCTGGGAGTTGAAGTCCACAACTTCAACTGTCTGAGGAATTCTGGGAGTTGAAGTCCACAATTTCACCTGTCTGTCTGAGGAATTCTGGGAGTTGAAGTCCACAATTTCACCTGTTTGTCTGTCTGAGGAATTCTGGGAGTTGAAGTCCACCACTCTTAAAGTTACCAGGGTTGGACACCCCTGCTGTAAAGCACCCCCTGGTGGTCACAAATGGTTCTGGTGCCCCCTGTGGTCACGTGACCATGTCGTCAGCTGTACAACTGTCACGATGTTCTGCAGTCACGTGACCACCATTTTGTCAAGGTTTCACCCATTTCTAGCAGAAAAACACTCATTCAAATGAATCGGCTGCTTAATCATCACAGCATTTATTGAACGATCACCATGAAAAAAAAACACACCAGAAATTCACTTGTGGTCATCCAGTGCCTCGACTTATAATGTAATTTTGAGCTCAGTTGTGGCTATAAATTGAGGAATATTTGTATTTATCATTTCAATTACTATAGAAATTGAAATGATAAATACTAATATTCCTTGGAACCTATCCCTGAAAAATTAAAAGAAACAATAAGAATAAAAGACTGAAAAATAGCCAGGATTGATTCCACGGTCTGGCTAAGGTTAATTTTTATCTGCATTCCTACTCACTGCCCCCTTCAAAATATGCTTGCATCTGCTTCTTTGCTTCTAGTTTTATTTTTATTTAATTTTATTTCATTATTTTTGCTGCTGTAGGACTTTTATTCAATCATAAACCATTTATTATTTTTTGCAGGATACTGAAAGCGCGCGCAGACACACACACACACACACACACACACACACACACACACAAACACAGTATGTAGGCAGCTGAAAAATAAAACAGCACACTTACTGGCAATAGATATGCTATTTACAGCAAAACACAAGCACAGTTCTGTAGGAATAAAAAAAAAAGCCAAAGGGACACCATTGGTTACAAATTTGACTTCCGGAGGATCTCCAATAAGTTTGTAGTCCTCATGGTTAATGATGTGTTGAAAAAGCTATATATGCTATGCTTGGCTGAAAAGTGCCAAAGCCAGAAGTGCTTTTCTCAACAACACTTCTTTTTCCAAAGCAGAGAAAATTCAAAAAAGGAAAATGCAAAATAAAAACAATTATGCAAATGTTCCTCATTTTAGTCTCCTTTACGTGGGCTGCCAAATTTCGCTTCTCCTGGGTGAGCGAGTGTGGGAAGCTGCGAACTCAAAATCACAACTGTCTCCCACACAGACCCACCTGTTTTAAAAAGCAACTTAACTGTCAACATCCAACTTGAGAATCCAAATAAAACTCCGGGTTCATTCCGTTTCCAAAAATCTTAACTGGTTTTATTGAATGCACGGCGTGGTTACGTCGAAGCAAAACTAACTCTGAGGTTCCAATTCCTAGACTTAAACAATAGTTTTCCCAGCCAAACCCCCAACGTCTTACTTAGTCTATATGAACAAGTTCACTTTGTTATGGGAACCGTCTGCTTCAAATCCACACCTGTTCTGGTGTCCTTGAATAGGTTTCAAGCTCTCACAGTCTTCAGCTGAATCGAAGAGGTTTCGTTTCTCCATTTAACCCACTTGAAAATAACACCTCCCTCCCCGCCTTCATTTAAAGGCAAGTTGAAATGCAGAGGCCTGTAGCTGAAAAGGTTTCATCCCTGACATTAACTTCGTTAAGCCTTTGGGAAGATTTGGGTAGCAGGATTGATTTATTTTCTTACCGCAAAAATTTCAGAGAGAGAGCCCACCGTTAACCCACTCTCAAGGGGGTTGGACTAAAAGACCTCCGAGGTCGCTTCCAGCTCTGTTATTCTGTTAAGGGGAGACCCACAAAAGATAAATTCTCAGCTCCCGTTTTAAGCTTGGTTTTCTCCGAGATCAAAAGCCACAAAGCTGGAAGAAGAGGTTGGATAGAGGCTGGAGGAAAAACGGCATTTTTAAGAGAGGACAGGACACTTACATCGGATTCCCTTCTCCTTTGCACTGAAGCACTAAGCTGTCCCCTTCTTGTGGATGCTCCGGTTTGGATTCGATTTTTGCCGTCGGTTTGTCTGCGGAGAAGACGACCAAGGAGAAAAAAAAGAGTTAGCAGTTGATAAGATAGTCGCCCGGTTGTTAAGTGAATCTGGCTTCCCCATTGACTTCGCTCGTCAGAAGGTGGCAAAAGGGGATCACGTGATCCCGGGTGGCTGCAACCGTCATAAATAGGAGTCAGTTGCCAAGCGTCCGGATTTGGATCGCGTGCCCCTGGGGATGGTTCAAAGGTCGCAACTGTGAAAAGGGGTCCTAAGCCCCTTTTTTCAGTGCCGTTGTAATTTTGAACGGTCACTAAACGAACGGTTGTAAGTCAAGGACTACCTGTATTCCGTCTGGACAACTATGGATTCATTATTATTCTTTATTGGGGGTCACCAGAATGCAGAGATGAGTCATTCTATTGCCCTGGCATCTGCTTCAAGGCCTTCCTTGCCATTTTGAAAGCTCTTTCTCTCTCAGAACGTTATTTAAAAGACATTTTTAATTAAAAAAATAATAATCAATGAGACGCTGACATGCTGCAAAGCAAGGCGATTCTCTTTATTTATTAAAAGCTGGTTTTGCCCTCTCTCGGTATTCCAGAGTGGCCTGCCACAGAATCATCCTCGTTATTTCAAGAACACAGTTTAGACCAGGGGTCTTCAAACTTGGCCCTTTGATGACTTGTGGACTTCAACTCAACGCGTGCTTGGCTGAGGAATTCTGAGAGTTGAAGTCCACAAGTCATCAAAGGGCCAAGTTTGAAGACCTCTGGTCTAGAAAGGCGCAACATTAAAGGAAAGATAGAGCGGGAGGGAGAAGGAAAAATGAAGAGCAATCGAGGCAACTCAGTTTTGAATTGTGTGTTTATGTGTATGATTTTCTTTAGAAGAGTGCAAGGGTTCTCGTCATTTTTATTTCAAGAAGGCCTTTTAGGGAAATTAAAAATGGGGGGAATTCTGGGAAGTGAAGTCCGCCTATCTCTAAGTGGCCAAGGCGGACGAATGTGATGGGAGTTAGTTAGACATAACAATATTGTAATAGTGTGTGAATTCAGGGCTTTTGAAATAAGAGATGATAAGAAATGGCGGGTTGGAGTAAAGGAGGGGAAGCCTACATTTCAAACTAACTGGAGAATGTGATTTATGACTGTTAATTGGAGGAGGGAATTGTGCTTTGATACTATGGGCTCAGGGGAGGGGAATCCAGTTTTTGGCTTCGACTGTGTTAATGCCCCACGCTTTGCTTCTCAAATAAAGATTCTTTAAGGTAAACAATGCCTTGAAGTTCTTGGAAGAGTTTCATCTGTCAGAACCAGGACAATCACATTAAAAAGGTATTCAAAGGCCAGTGCTCTGACAGATGAGCACAATTCGAAGCGCATGGACGATGTCCCCTGGAATGGAGACGAAACGTTTGCAACCTAATCGAACAAGCTCAGAGATCAAAGCAACAGGCCAGGCTTAGAACTGATGCCGTCATAATTTTGAAATAAGTCACGGGCGTCTCCCGAGTCACATACAGAAGACGGAGAGACGCTGCGAGGCGGATTTCTCAAAGATTTGCAGAGAGGAGTGGTCCACCGTGCACGTAACGTCTGCTCCATCGTCCTCTTTGCCAACCATAATTTCGACTTGGCTGCTGACTGTAAAAGTTTTCCCATTTGCATCTTTGGAGACTTCCAACGACTGGCCTGTTTGGGAGAGAGAGAGATAGAGAGAAAGAGAAATCACAAAATCAAGTATTTATATATTGGCATGTAATTTGACACTACTTAGAGATAATTAACTTGCAGATAACTAACCTGGCCACAGGTTACTGTATTTTAAGGCGCTAAATCTAGAGAGGAAAACTAGCATCTGTGTTTCCATGTTCAAATGCAGTCTACCAGTCAATATAGAATGGTAAAGGTAGGGCTCTTAATTTTACGAAGGCTTCATTAAAACCTTGACTACATCTGGGAAGCAAACTGGATGACCCATTCTGACGTCCTTCTTAGGTTTTTGAATAGCCTGTTTGTGGCTTACCTGTCAAGACTCTGTCACCTTTATTCCATCTAAGCTGAGCAGCTGGCTTACTGCCAGAGGAGGCACACGTCAACAGGGCTACGTCTCCTTCCCTAAGAGGACCTGAGTAACCCGAGATTTGAGGTTTCTGTGGGATTCCTGAAAGAGAAGAGGACAATGAGGACTAGCGACTTAGAATATCCCGGAGAAGACGCGCTTTGAAGTGTTGGCTCCCAGAAAGGATAATGCCTTTGAACTTGGAGTGAAACTGTAGCTCTGAGATGGGATGATGACATTTCTCCTGCCTCATTAATTTTTTCATAAGAATAGATTAGAGATATAGAATAGAATAGAAATACAGAATAGAATAGAAATATAGAATAGAATAGAATAGAATAGAATAGAATAAGGAAACAGAATGGAATAGAATAGAATTAAGAATAGAAATAAGACTAGAATAGAATAGAATAGAATAGAATAGAAATAAAAATAGAATAGAATAGAATAGAATATGAACAGAATGGAAAATAGAATAGACAATAGAACAGAACAGAACAGAATAGAATATGAATAGAATAGAAAATAAAATAGAATAGAAGACGACTAGAATAACAGAGTTGGGGAGGAACCTTGGAGGTCTTCTAGTCCATCCCCCTGCTCAGGCAGGGAACCCTATGCCATTTCAGACAAATAATCTCATGTTTGGGATGTACAAAACAGGGCTTCCATTCCTGGAACATTTCAGTCAACCCCAAAAGAATTCTTGTTTTCCTCTGGGAATCTGCAACTCATGTCCCTGTATTCAGGAGCACACAGGTAGTCCTTGACTTACAACTATTCGTTTACTGACTGCTTGAAGTCACAACGGCACTGAAAAAAAGGGACTTGGGACCAGTTTTCACACTTACGACCGCTGCAGCATCCCCACGGTCACGTGATCAAAACTCAGAGGCTTGGCAACTGGCATGTACTTATGACAGTTGCAGGGTCCTCTGGTCACGTGACCCCCCTTTTGCGACTTTCTGACTAGCAAAGTCAACGGGGAAGCCAGGTTCACTTCACAACCGTGTTACTAACTTAACAACGGTATGGTTCGCTTAGCAACAGGGGCAAGAAATGTTGTAAAGTGAGGCAAAGGCCACTCAACAACTATCTTGCTTAGCCACGGTCGTTAAGTCGAGAACTACCTGTATTTCCCAGACAGGAGAGGACTGGGATTTTTTTCCAGCTGGAGCCCACCCCGAGAACTTGGAAAGGCTGAAATGTTCAAGGAAGAGACCCTCCCGTTTCGGACAGGGCTGGCCACTGACCCCTTCGCCTCACCCAACACAGTGACCATCGCTTTCGCAGTCCGGACGGGCCGGGTGAATATCGTGCAGGTGTATTCTCCCTCGTCGGCCAGTGTGGTGTTGTCAATGCTTATGCTCAGCTCGTTGGCCGTTGAATTCTCCAGCTGGATCCGAAGGTCTCGTAGTGCTAGGGGAAGGAAGAAGGGTGAGTTAGAGAAGGGGCAAAGGGGGTCATCTTAGGCCGGCCGGCCTGCCTGCCTGTCTATCTGTCTGTCTATCTGTCTATCTATCTATCGTCTATCTATCTATCTATCTATCTATCTATCTATCTATCTATCTATCTATCTATCTATCGTCTGTCTGTCTATCTATATATCTATCTTATATCTAATTTATATAGCCCATCTCATCAAAAACAATATTTTTACCTCCCTTCCTTCCCTTCCTTCTTCCCCTGTCTATCTTTTTATCCATCATTTATATAGCCCATCTCATCAAAAACAATCTTCCTTCCTTCCTCTCCTATCTATCTATCTATCTATCTATCTATCTATCTATCTATCTATCTATCTATCTATCTCATATCATCTATCTATCTATCTATCTATCTATCTATCTATCTATCTATCTATCTATCTATCTCATATCTTCTATCCATCTATCCATAGCATCTATCTATCTATCTATCTATCTATCTATCTATCTATCTATCTATCTATCTATATCATATCATCTATCTATCTATCTATCTATCTATCTATCTATCTATCTATCTATATCTATCTCTAAATTATATAACCCATCTCAATGAAAAAAACCTCTGGGTGTCATATAACAAAGCTGAAACAGTGAACAAATATTTTTTTGTTGTTTTGGAACAAAACAAGGACATTTGTTTACTGCTTTCAAGAGCTTGAAAAAGTTCAGATTTTTCCCCCCTATCCTGGAAATTTGGTATATGTCGAGATTTTAAACCTCATCTAAAATATAAAATCAGGAAAAGCTCTCAAGTGCAAAAAAAATTATCTCTTTTTAAACTTTAAAGCAGAGTTTCTCAAGCTTTTGAGTTTCTCAACTCTCAACTTTTAAGATAAGTAGACTTCAACTCCCAGAGTTCTGCCAAGCCACCACACTGGAGTGGCAAAGCTTAGGATTACCACTAGAGGACAGCAAAGAGATAGAGAAACTGTCTGCTTGCTGCCATCTAGTGGCCATTTCTGTGGTAGTACATTGGATTCCCAGAATTCCCATGGCTGGCGAAACACTGCTCTAGAGAATGTCACACCCATAATTACAGGAAACCACAAAGAATGCTGGATTTGTGGCGGTAAAAAAAATACATGCTGGAGGGAATTGCACGCTCCAGTTGAACGCGTGAAGTCTGTGATTAGGGAAAATTTGTGGCAAACGAATCAGAAAGAGATTGCAAATTGTTCAGAGCCACCTGTCTTTGTGTGGATTCCAGATCAAAATGCTACAGACTCTTTCTATATGACACTTCCTTAGGAGACAGCCTGTTGCAAACTGCCCTTCCTGCTAACATTCATCTTCACATCTTCAGATAAATAAACAAAAGTTGGAACTAGCAAGCCAAGGCTTCAGGGAATCGCTACACCATCCCTGGCTGCAAACAGAAGGAAACAAAAAGACCAAATTTAAAGGGGAAAAAAAATACCACCAAACGTCTCCCCAACTCAAAACAAAGGAAAAAAAAAAAAAACGAGCTATCCACAACTGTTGTAAATACTATTGAAAACAGAGTGACATGACATGACATCCATGGAATTTACAGTATGGAAATCAATCGGCTTTCCTCTTAGATTTATGGGGCTGGAGCATTAATCAATAAATCATTGATCACATTCAGATAACATCTCTGCAGTTCCACAAATTAACAGCAGCAAGTGTTTCTCTCAGCTCCGAGCCTGGAGCAAAATGATCAGTTTGGGACTTCTCACAGAATTGCCTTCTTTTTGAGGATGGCAAGAAGAAAAAAAAAGTTTAATCTGTTTAACTTTGGGCGTAGACATAGTCAGGGCTTCAGGTCTGGAATGCACAATAAGAAAATAATAGAACAGAATAGAACCAAACAGAATATGATGGAGGGGTATTTGGGCTGGTTTTTGGAAAAAAATTAGGTGAATGTGTAGAGAATCCAGACAGTATAAGACAGTGAAAACAATAAAGGAGACTATTGGTAGCTCAGGGTGGACATGAGGTTGGCTGACGTGCTTCGCTGAGCTGGGCGGTTTTTTTGGAGACATTTCATGACCCAACTAGGTAACATCATCAGTGCTAGAAGGGATGGGATGGAATAGAAAATGGAGTGGAGTGGAGTGGAGTGGAGTGGAGTGGAGTGGAGTAGAGTAGAGTAGAGTAGAATGCTGAAATAGAATGGAATGGAATAGAATGGAATGGAATAGAATAGAATATAGAATAGTTTATAATAGAATAGGGAATAGAATAGAATATAGACTATAATAGAATATAGAATAGAACAGAATATAGAATAGAATATAGACTATAATAGAATATAGAACAGAATATAGAATAGAATAGAATAGAATAGAATAGAATAGAATAAAGAATATAGGATAGGATAGGATAGGATAGGATAGGATAGAATAGAATAGTTGTAAGGATGAGGACCAGTCATAAATAACATTTTTAGGACCACTGTAACTTTGAATGGCCACTAAACAAATGGTTGCAAAGTCAAGGACCATCTGTGGCTGTCATTTAAGATGCTTAAAAAAGGACAATCTGCCTTTCACACAAAACCCAATTAGATGTGTTTGTGTGTTTGTGACCCAAAATATCTTGTTTTCAGTTTGGACCAAACCACCCAAAAACAAACAAACAAACAAAAATCTCCAAGAGCTGATTTGGGCTCTTTTAAGCAAGCGGTTCGTTTTGCTTTTTAACGCCGGTTTCAAGTATGGACTTTCAAAACTTGTTAGTCACCCCTGCTAGCGAGAAGGAGGAGGATACTGAAAAAATATAGATTTACATCAACAATAAAAAATGTATTGTGTTTGTAGCATAGTCATAGCTTCAAGGTGGAGAAAATAAATCACCCGTATTCTCCTTGAGGGGAAAAAAAAAGGAAAATGTTTTGCTGGTCGCTTGGAGGCAATTTCGAATCACCGCAGGTGAGGAGGAGAACCGACATGTTAAGGTTTGTTTGTAGATAGTCCCTTATCTCCTTTACCCAGGCAGGAGAAATCCCCATTGAAGCAAATGCTCCATTTCCTCTTATTTGACAGAGTTGAGATTTTTGGAGAGGCCTCTGGATTTTTTACCTTTCCCTCCGTGACGTCAAGAGGGGGCTTGAAGGCAGATTTGGACACCAAAAAGTGAGAGGTGAAAATGCCCAAAAATATAAAGCACGACAACAGAAGCTCGCTTTGCAAAAACCTGCTTCCAAATTGAGCCGGAGGGATTCGGCTGGCAGCTAATTGCACTTGTTTTTGGCGGCTCTGACAGTCTACAGCGTTTCCCAGTCGTTGGGATTTAAGGACGGGGATGGATAAATCACGGTAAATAAATCTGGGGACTGTCACCGGCGGTTGCCAGAGCTGTTGGCCTCCCACCTCTGGGCTTCGATGCCCCCCGGCCGGCCTTACCTCGTTTTTCTCCAAAGTAGAGCGTCTGCTGAGCAGGATTGGACCACTGGAGCGAGGAATCTTCCGGATCCTCCACCTTGCAGGAGAGAATCACCTTTGAACCCGCCACCACGACTTCATCGGCAGTCACCGGCTGGCTTCCTAAAAAGGAGAAAGAGATTAGCCAATGGATGGGACTCCTTGAAGCTTGTTTGGTCCCTCTTGGCCCAGCCAAAAGAATCCCTGAAACCCACTCAATTTTTTTGCCAGTGGGGAGGAGTGCCAGCCTCTCTGCCTCTTTAGCTTCCTCGAGGACTAGAAGCTTAGGTCAATTTAGGATGCTAGCCACGCACTCTTTCCCTCTAACCAAGAGAATCCCTGAAATCCACTCAATTTTTTTGCACGCGGGGGGAGTTCCAGCCTCTCCGCCTGTTTAGCTTCCTCGAGGACTAGAAGCTTAGGTCAACTTTGGATGCTAGCCACGCACCCTTTCTTCTGCTTCCCGCCGCTATTTGACCAGTGACCAGCGAAGGAGAGCAAAAGAACCACGACTCTTAGCAGCACTAGAGCAAAACAGGAAACGCTTCCTTTCATAGTTGACCCCTTACATATCCAAGCCAAAGCATTTCATTGCCCCCTTCTCCCCCCCCCCCCGGTTCAAAAATGCAGGGGGTGCCTTCCACTCAGCACATTCTGCACCGCCTAGTTAATCCAGGAAACGCAGTTCATGTCCCCCCCCCCAGTTCCACCCTCCTCTGTGCCCATCCTCTGAAGGACTCGAAAACATCTCTTGGCTGGGTTCCCAAGCCTGGAGCTTCTGCTGCTGCCGCTGCGGCCACCCCCTCGCCAAGGAACAACCAGCCCCTTGTCTGCCCCCCCCCCCCGGTTGCTATTCAGAGGCAGCCCTTTGGAAACAGCCACATGTGGAAGCTTCCAAAACACTTCGCATGATGGGGCCAGTCTGCCAAGGAATTCCGCCCAGTGGGCGCAGGATCAGGCTCCGTCCAAACGGCTAGATTAAATTTCAGAAGCCCCCCCCCCCCCGGGCACAGCAGGGGAGGGTCCCGAACCTGGCAGAGAGGGGGCGCTTCTGCAACAAGAGCTGGGGGTCCCCCAATCTCCCTTGCAGCCCCCCCCCCGAGCGGCGGTCAAGAAAAAGCAGATAAAAGCCAAGTTCAAATGCCAACCGGTTCGAGACCGTTTCTGGCTTGGTGCTCACTGGGGTGTTTTGCTGCTTCGCCAGTCGCTAAATTGGGACTGGCCTTCGCGAAACGTGCAGATCCGCGGCCTGCATAGAAAAGGCTTCCGTTTTCCTACGTTTGATGCATTTATTGAAGTAGAGTTTAAAATGCAAAAGAAAATAAGAGGAAAATAAAGGAGGGGAAAGGGAAGGGAGGGAAGTGTAAGGCAGAAGGGGAAAAGGAAGAAAAAACGTTGACTTCCGACTCCTTTGGGTGCAGTAGAATAAGGTAATGGCATAGAACCTGGAATATTTACTTTTAGATAATACAGGTTGGTCCCCGACTTACAACAGTTCGTTTAGTGGCCATTCAAAGTTACAACGGCACTGAAAAAGAATGGAATGGAATGGAATAGAATATAATAGAATAGAATTAAATAATAGAGTGGAGTGAAGTAGAGTAGAACAGGAATAGAATAGAATAAAATAGAATAGAATAAAATAGAATAGAATAGGAGCTGGAAGGGACCCTGGGGGTCTTCTAGTCCAGCCCCCTGCTCAACCAGGAGGACTTATACCATCTCAGACAAGTGAATGTCTAATAGAATAGAATAGAATGCAGAAATAATAGAATAGAATAGAATGGAATGGAATGGAATAGAATAGAATAGAATTAAATAATAGAATGGAGTGGAGTAGAGTAGAACAGGAATAGAATAGAATAGAATAGAATAGAAATAAGAATAGAATGGAATGGAATGGAAATACAGAATAGAATAGAGTAGAGTAGAGTAGAGTAGAGTAGAGTAGAGTAGAGTAGAATAGAATAGAATAGAACAGAATAGAAAATAGAATGGAATGGAATAGGAGATTTATTACCATTTTTCAGACTTACAACCATTGACAGCATCCCCCTGATCAAAATTCAGACGCTTGACAATTGACTCGTATTTATGACGGTGCAGTGTCCCGGGATCCCATTTTGTGACCTTCTGACCAGCAAAGCTAACGCAGATTCCAAGCTCACTTAACCACCATGTTAATAACTTAACAACTGAATGACCGTGGCAAGAAAAAGTCGTAAAAACGGGGCAACACTCCCTGAACAACTGCCTCATGTAGCCATAGAAATTCCAGGCTCCCGTGTGGTCGTAAAGTCGAGGAATAGTTGTAATGTATACCAGCCGTTTTTCTCTAACCACAAGCCTATCAAATCAGCAAGGCCCAAAAATCTAAAGTTTCTTCCTTCCCCCCCCCACCACAAGCACAAAGCCCAAGAGAGGTTTCCAGGCAGAAACAAAACTAATTGTGTTCTTTTTTAGCCGTCTCCGGGATGAAAAGGCTTCTAAAGGAGATTGTTCCAGCCTTGCAGGTGAGGAATGGGTCACGCCAGGTGTGCCGAGTGTCTTCCTGTCTCTGTGTCTCCTCGTCCTCCGAAGAGTTAATCCTTATGCTGCGATAAGCTTAGTTACCTTCTGCTGTCAGAAGTCAATCCCTGTTCTGGCTCTTTAGTTACCATGGAAAGGAAGTCTTTCCATGTCTTCCTAGCTCGGAATAAGGCGACCCGGGACCTGTCACTCTTCAGCTGTCAATTTTCCCGGCTCAAAACCGAACGAGGACAAGGTGGAGTTATGGGGAGGAAACTGGGTCAAGGAAAAACTGCATGGCGGCAGAGAAGGAAAAGATCAATTTTATTTCTTTTCTTTTTGTTCCCACCTCCCCCCCCCCCAGACAGCAAAAGAACAAGCTGATTTATTTTTTATTTTTTTGGGCCTTCATCCCTCGCAACCTGTTTCTGTTTGTTTGGTAGCCAGAAAGAAAGGGGGAAAAATAAATAAACAAATGCACAACATTTGCCCATGGGTGAGGCTCGCAGGAAGGAGGAAAATGTTTTTTTTTTTTTTAATGTTTTATGTTTCTCCCGGCTACAGACTTTGGGGTGGGAAAAAAAGAGATTTCCGGAGGCGAAAAGCAACTTGACATGAAAAGCATCTGTCTGCCACTTGGCAAAGTCCAAGGGAGACTGATGTAAGACTTCAAAAAAAAAAAAAAAAAATGATAAAAGGGAAGAACCGGGGATGAGATGGCTGAACACTCGCCCGATCCGCCAGCCCGAATCCTGAAATCTCCTGTGAGATTTTGAGGGTTTTTTTTAAATTATTTTTTTAGCCTTGTCTTGCAAACTTTTGGGGAACTGAGGCCACCTGGAATGTGGGAATAAATAGCCAATTTCCTGTGGATTCTGTGGCCAGCGGTTCCGTTTCCCTTTTCGCATTCAAGAACTCATCTGAAGCCTCTTATCCAGAAGCCGAGAGGGGCTGAGTGCAGATCTGGACTATTTTTTCTAGCCCATGATGTGATCTCCGTTAAGATTACCCCGTGGTGTTCAGGAGACGTCGGGAACATGTTCAACTCTCATCTGCATAAGCTCCACCCTTCATTTGCATATCCCAGTCTCAAATTCTCACTCTTCCAGTTGTAACAGACGTTCATGCTCTGAGTATACTCTGCAACCACAGAAAACTGACTTACTATAGGTAGTCCTTGACTTACAACAGTTCGTTCAAAGTTACGACGGCACTGAAAAAAGTGACTTATGATCGTTTTTCACACTTATGGCCATTGCGACATTCCCATGATCAAAATTCAGATGCTTGGTAACGGACTCACATTTATAATGATCAGAGCATTGCTGGGATCACGTGGTTCCCTTTTGTAACCCTTCTGACACACAAAGCCAACGGGGGAAGCTAGGTTCACTTAACAACCGTCTTACTTAACAACTGCACTGAATCCCTCGACAGGAAAGTGGCGAGAAAGGTCGCAAAATGGGGCAAAAACAATATCTCACTGAACCACAGACATGCTGGGCTCAATTGTGGTCGTAAGTCGAGGAGTACCTGTAGAAGAGGGGAGGGCAGGATGGAGGATTGAGGATCCCGGTTGCCACCCCAAACCGGCATGCAGAAAAGATGGTCCTCCAGGTCTGGGTACTACAACTCCCAGAGTTCCCCAGCTGCGAATTCTGAGGAACCAAAGATTGTCTTTCAGGTCTGTGAACTACAATCACTCAAATCTTTATTACAGTCGTAGACCAGCATATTGTGAACTACAACTCCCATGTTGTAGTCGCTGCTGAGAATTTGGGGAGCTGGAGACTCTGCGAACAGGCCACACAACCTTTTAATTTCTGAGCCAAATCTCTAGCAGACCCCATCTTGTTTTAATCTGCTGTTAGGTGAAAAAAAAATGGCTATTTTTAAAGGGAATAAACGTGGATCTCTCTCTCTCTCTCTCTCTCTCTCTCTCTCTCTCTCCTCTTTCTCTCTCTCTCTCCTCTTCCTCTCTTTCTCTCCTCTCTCCTCTTCCTCTCTTTCTCTCCTCTCTCCTCTTCCGCTCTCTCTCTCTCTCCCAGATCCATGCAATTTCCTTTTCATGCTCTCCATGTCCACAGCTATGCCAAGGCAGGAACCTTCCGTTTGCACCCTGGAAGCCTTCCTGGCCTCTATGCTTGGCTTGTGTTAGCCAGCCCAGCAGGCCTGCCAATTAAATCCGCGTTCACTCGGCAGGCCCACACGGGGCTGAGCAGCAAGGTGCCCCGTAATAAACATTCCCTTTATTGAATGCGCTCGGTGGGTTGGGGTGCCTCCTTCCTTGCCTGCCAGACTTGCCAGCTTTCAATGTTCCTCTTAATAAAGAGAACAAAAGAGATGCCTCTCCCACTTTCCCAGGGAAGAAGAGGAAGGAAGGAAGGAAGGAAGGAAGGAAGGAAGGAAGGAAGGAAGGAAGGAAGGAAGGAAGGAAAGCATGGAGGGAGGGAGGGGGAAGAGAGGGGAAAAAGGAAAGATATGGAGAGAGGGAAGACAGGGAGGGAGGGAGGGAGGAAGGAAGGAGAAGACGGAGGGAAGAAGGAAGGAAAGGGAAGAGGGAGGGAAGAAGGAGGGAGGGAGGAAAAAAGACATGGAGGGAGGAAGGAAGGGAG